GTCGAGGCGCCAGCGAAGCGAGGCTACTGTCTGACAATGATCAATCTATGTAGTTGCATGATGCGGGGCTGGAGTCTAGCTTGACACAAAGAATTGCAATCGGCAATGCTCCGTAACTCTCACAACTCCAACATGCCTATTTGGCCTCATACAGGCAGCAATTAATACGGACACAACATGCTGTATAACCTCGTCCAGAGTAACAGCGCTCGCATGTAGAACAAGCGGGGTAACAATAAGAAGTCACATTTGACAACTATCATCATCATGGCTGACAACCCCTTGGCGGTACGTTTGCGATGTTGTGCTAGCCTCATTTTTGGCTCCCAAAAAGGCTCGGAAATTGGCTAATACAATCACCGGAAGCCGACAGGGTTTCATCATGGAGTTTTGTACAACATCAGAATCTTGGAATTTCTCTGGCACGGAATCTCTTGGTTGCGCAATCAGGATGGAACATGCAGTCTCACTGCATACAAGCTGGCAAGTGACCTCACTTGAGAGCAACCACCCGCCCCCTCATCTGTGTCCGTTGACACCGCGTCAGCGTTTTGGCCTGCAGTAAGCCGGTCTGTATTGGCTCATCCGCAACGGTGGCTTGATGCATCGCTGTGAATTGGCGCCCAGCGTGGCTTGAACCGGTCTAGAATCTAGCAGTCTTACAGACGTGGTTTCACTGCACCGTTACCCGACCTGTTCTCCGACATGCTTCATTAAAAGAAAACTTGTTTGCATTGAAAAGATTTGGAACTTCGCGTTGTGAGACTGGGGGCCGACCGGGAAGCCGAAGTGTATAAATTGTCTCCTCACTGCCCCAGATCCTCAAGCGAAACCAGCTGACGGATTCTTCCCATATTAGATACCGGGCGACAAATGACTTACTCTTAAATCAAGGCCCACCGCTTGCACATGTCAAATCATTGGAGCTATGGGACTAGATTGAGGTGTAAACATAATATACTTTCCTATATGCTTGCTCCTTGCCAGCTCCCTTTTCTATTCGTTTTTTTCTTCATATTTTTTTTAGACTTCAAAGTTACTTCAAAGTTCATTCATTACACACTTTCGACCGAAGTTGTGCCCGATATATTACGTACCTCATCTATGAAGAAATACCCACGTGGAACAGATGAGAAGCGGCATGCCAAAATCCGTTCCACTGTCTCAGACGTTGCCTTTCGTCTGCGCTCAGAGCAATAGAGACTTCAAAATCGAGAGCAGCATGGCCATAAAAGTGGATCTTAATAGATGGTGAAGCTTACATCACCTGTTTTGCACGGCCTTGTTGCAATACTTGTCACAACATGCTGTGCCACTCCACGGCTGCCTGCATGCGCACCGAGATGGTGTCATAGAGGCCCAACTCACCGGCAACTCTGCGTTCAAGAGCATATATGTTCAATAATTGGCCAGCATTTACTGGTTAGTGGCGAGGCTCTGTCATGGCGAGGCTTTCTGCGAGGTCCTAGACCCTGGTTCCGCAGCATCGCCGACGAGTTCGCTGCTTTCTGAACTCGCTCGGGGACCTCTGGCCTCAACGTTTTCCAGAGCCGCCTCTTGAATAGTCCGGTTTCTGAATCAAAGAGAATTACACACGTACGCGAAGAGACGAAGCAGCAGCTTCTTGCGAATGGCATGGCGGAGATTAGACCGTGGCCACAGGCGAGCATGGACGCTCATGGAGAACGACTACACCTGGCTTCAAGCCAGAGTGCTTAGCCAGCATACCGAACATACAGACAGCACGTATTTCTAGCGCAATTGTTCCACTTCCCGGCCGAGGCATGGCGGCACACACAGCCCTGCCGTCTCGGTGCCAGGGATTCATCCGCAACGAGTACTTTGCACTCCCCAGTGTATAGCCACGAAGATGCGCCGCCAAATGCTACGATCCCAACCTCTGTATGCCACGTCCGAGCTTCAGGACGTGTATAGTGAGGTAAAACTGCAAGATATCCGATGCTCGGTGTCCCATGGCTTTGAACGAGCCCCCCCAGCTCTCTTGCTCGGTGTATCAAGATGTAAAGGTGGTACTTTGATATACCTGCCATGCTGTCCAACCCCAGGCACCCCGCGAAAATCAGCCCCCGTGGGCAGAACGCTCTTGACTGACGTGGCTCGTCAGTGAATGCCATGGGGATGTCAAACCTGGGATCAGGTGGTTTTTTTGCTCCTGTCTAGGACATGGCAGGGTGGCTGTATCTCCATGTCCTTCTCCCTGGAGAAACCTCCATTTTCAAAACGAAAAACTCCAGAATTTTCCTCGCGAAGCCGTCCAACATCTCATTTTCCAAAGCAAATTTCGTCTTTGGGGCGTTAAAATCAGAAGAAGCCGTGCAACTCGGCAGATAAGGCTACCATCTCGCAACCACACTGTTTCGTCTTACACCATGGCATCTAATCAGGCAGCTTATAACGGGTGAGAAGGCGAAATCTCACGGCATCACGTATCCGAAATGCTGACACTTTCCCCCTCTCCCCCCCTAGGTCGACGCCCCGTAAGCCTGCTCATACATATACCCAGTACCAGGCTCAAGGGGCTACCTCTGACGCCGCGAGTCTACGAGAATACCGCCTCTCTCAGTTTCAAAATGGTCCTTCCGCTACGCCTACCGAGGCGCCTTCGAGCCGCGGGGCTCGTATTTCGCAGCAACTCTACGCGGTCGATGCGGCATTCAAGCGGCGTGCTTGAGGAGCGCGAGGGGGCGGGATGTCGTTGATATCAGGACCCATCCAGGAGTCATTATGGGATCGCACGGCGTTGGGAAGTATGTAAGCTTATCGAATTAGGCGCCCAGGCCACAAACCTCTGGGGGTCTAGTTGTCCCGAGGATATCAAGGGCAGGCACGAAAGCGATCGTACCCGAGGAAGGGCATGGTGGTTGAATTTGACCAGGGCAGGATTATATATGATTGGGGCATGTATATTAGGCGTGCGGTGGATGGGTTATTCGCAATGTTCGCTCCATCAAGATGTCAGAATGGGTTGCCGTCCATGGTTGTAAACTGAGGTTCCTCGTGTTCCCGTAGCGTATTATTGCCTCTCAAATATACGACTTTCAGAACCCATTTGTCACGCTCGAGCTTCCGGCACTTACCCATTGTGCCTTGCGGCAAATCCCTTCCTTCGAGCAGCGTTCGTGACTGATGCGCCTTGCGCTGCTGCCTGCTTGTGCGGGGAAAGCTGTCTGCCTGAGCCTTGTTCCAGGGGCACCAGGTCCCTTTTGCGGACCTAACCTAGACTTCGGTGATGAATCTTTCCAATATTACTTGTTCTTGGATCGGAGCGTGTGTCGTGGTATTTGCGTCAAGGACTGTATTTTGCGGGTTTCCTGTCTTTGGGGAATATCTCTCGAGCCATGGCACGTGGATGGTTGGTGGTCGTGGCTTGCCAAGACATGGTGTCTCATACTACGCTGTAGAATGTACTCTGTATGTTTCGTAGCTATGCACGTCGTGGACGGGGGTGTATGGCACAATGATGTTGGTGTGGCCATTCTCATTGTCTTTATTACACAAGTCGAATATTGGGCAAGCGTTGGATTAGACTATTGTTCATGCCGATGATATAAAAGGTGGTTTTGAAGATTGTCAAAACGGGTTGAAGTTGTATATAATGCCGGTATGGCCCTTTTTTCTCATTCTACTGCTCCTTACTTGTTGAGACTCTTGCGCTTCGGAGATGTTGGCATTTTTATACGTCCTTGCTTAAAATGGCGCCGTGTATCTCTGGGATTCCAAGTGTAGTCCATCCAGGAGCATTCATCTTGTTGCAAATTTACCTTTTGAGTTGTGATTACGGTCATGTTCTCGAACCGGAATTTGATTTTGCCTGTCCGTCTGGACACCAACTCCTACTCTATATGGCGCCACTTTTCTCATGCGGCGAAGGGGCTTTTTAAGTTTGCTTGTGTCTATTATGAATTCAGCAAGTCGCTACAGCTCCTTGAAATATTCATTTCTATACGTTTCCTCTTGAGATGGACTGAATTCACTTTCAATCACAGTTGCGACGCGAAACTCATCAAAAGATGGTAGGAACTCGGCTCTGCCAACATCGATACATGGTGCCGGGCCCTTCTTTCCCCCTCCAAGGGTGGAAAATGAAAAAAAAAATGAAAAAATGAAAAGACAAAAGTGTAAACTCAACACTACGGAGAATGGAGCAGTCGAAAATCATTTGGCTCGGGATATACTTGCCTTTCATCCTTGAGCAACTCCCAGCTGCGAGATTTTCGTCCAACAGACGAATTTGTTACAACTACCCGGCCTATGAGTGCGCAAGTAAATAAGACGAGAAAGACTCGTCATGAAAAGAGGCTCTGTGCGTCAGTTGTGTCTCTGGTGCCTATCATGGTTTTGCTTGCCAGTCACGGATAGCATCATACAAGCCTGGCCTGACCTATTCCGTGAGCGCGTTCATGTTCCCAGCATCTCTTTATAATTAGACCCCATACAGAATGATGGGATGTGACCTTGCTTATTTACACTAGAAACACAGTGCATCAGGAACACTAGCAGTTTAATCACAGGATAGAATTCCATCACTAGTCATCGTCCGGGGCCTCTTGGAAAAAGAAAAGTCGACGTGATTTGCTTGCGACAACAAACAAACAAACTGAAGTTCCAGCCCGATATTTCCGCTCATCTCTTCCTCTCCGCAGGCGCTTTGGCCTCACGACCTACTATCCGCAACGCGAACAGAGTACGTCTTCACTTTTATTTACACCTACGGATCATGGACCAACTTCATCCTAGGGTACTGTATCTAGAAATCGGTGCACAGTCAACGGGTTATCAGCCCAATGTTTGCAAATCATCAATGTTGCGTTCTACCAGGGCACACGGCACAATGTACGGCCAACGACTACTCACACAACCTCGTACCAAGTATTGACAGAAGCGGGGGTTACAAATAGACGAATTATATTAAGCAGCTTTAACTTGGACACAAAACAATTACGACATCTAACGCAGGCTCTAAATCTAGTCGTGTCCGTCTACGAATGACAAAACTGCGGCGAAAGTGCATTACATTTGGGCTTCCTGAAGGACGCGACACCAACTTCCCTCGTTCTTTCGGGAAAGCCCTCAAACGAAGCTGCATACGTTGCCACAGAATGAGCAATAAGCTATACCGGTTAGCCAGATCCATCCCGCTCACGCACATGGGCTTGAGAAGACGTACCTTGGTGTTCACCTCCCACGCCGTCATGTTCAAGTTGTTCAAATCATCGCCGATCTGATGGTAATTCTTGTCATACCACTCTCCTTCTTCGCCGCCAAAGAATCCAGCCTCGAGAGGCGTCTTGACACCCTCGGCGCCCTGCATTTGAATCCCGGTTAGTCTGCCACATCATCGCGCCCGGCGCCGTGAATCAAGAGGAATGCACGTACCGTGGCAATGCCGCCCGCCGGAATACCCGCCCTGACAAAGGGATCGTAGTCTGAGCGCCCGTCGAACTCGATCATGGTATAGTTCAGCCCGCTGCTCGTGTACCAGTCCGTGTACAGGTCGCGCAATCGCTCCGACCCCAGCGGGTTCTCCGCATCAGTCGCGTTGTACACCTGGTACGCAAAGTTTGGACTGGCCATCATGTCGTAGTCCATGAAGAGCCTGATCTTGGCATTCTCCTTGTCGGAGAGGGATTTGACGTAGTGCTCTGAGCCCAGCAGACCCTCCTCCTCGGCGGACCACCAGGCGAAGCGGACGCAGTTTTGGATCCGGAACGCCGCGAGCTGGGAGGCCACTTCGAGGATAGACAGGGACCCAGAGCCGTCGTCGTTGATCCCCGGGCCCTCCTCGACGGAGTCGCTGTGGCCGCCTAGCATTACGCAGTTGTCCGCGTCGCCCTCGGTTGTCTGCGCAATGATGTTGTTCGTCTTGATCGTCTGGACGGTGGCGTCAATGTATGCCGATCCTCGGAAAATCTCCCCGCGTGGCATGTTTTCCACCCAGTCCTCGGCGTCTTTGCTGCTGACCCCAAAGGTGGCGATGTGGTCGGGCGACGGCTTGCCCAGGGTGCCTACAGACACGGTCAGCAACAACCCGACTACACCGTGTATGCGACGAGCGCGTTCGCCAGGGCTCACCGTGCAATTCTTCATCTACGGTATTGTAAATGATGGCCGCAATGGCACCCGCCCTTCCAGCAAGCTGCGATTTATCGCCAAAGGGACACGTTCCCCTCTGCATCAGGGCAATATTCCCCTTGACCTTGTGAGGATAGTCAGACGCCTTGCAGCCCGTGCCGCGAACCAAAATCAACTGTCCGAAAACGGGTTCATTGTTCTTTGTCGGCGGCGTGAGCCTACCCAGCGTCAGCAATTTTGGCCCATCGACCCCCTCCCGTCCCGGACAGCGTATACATACGAAAAGGCCGTGGTCGAAGCGGGCACCTTGTCATGAATGACGAGGCGAAACTCCCTCACCCTGCCTGCATAAGCGTCGAATGGCTGCTCCGAGACATTGTAATAGCTTCCGAGAGAAGCCAGCTCAGACTTGATGTACTCGAGCGTGGCCTGGTGTCCTGCTGCCCGTCAGACTCAAATCACCAGCGCCGTCAACTACATACGCCCAGGGACACGCATACCTGCCGACCCAATGACGCGAGTAGGGTGGTTGAACTCGTCCTCGGATTTCCTAGCAAGCGCATACAGCTCCTCGGCGCGCTCCCACAGCCTGTCCTTGTCGATGCTGTCCTGCAGAGTGCCCGAGCTGACGAGCGGTCTTGCGTGGAAGGCCGAGTGAGGTGCAATGTCGTTGATCGGCCGCTGCAGAGGGAGCTGCAGCGCCGCAGAGGCCGCGCTGAGAGCAACAAGGGACGCGATTCGGGTCATGTTGCCGTCGGTGAGGGCTTGGACGGCGAGGAGCAAAGGAGTGAGGAGGCGAGCAGGCCAAGTTATGTTGCGCTCGGGGTGCTGACGCCATGCTGGGACGGGACTGATGACATTGCGCCCCGCTTTTCAATCTCCCGCGCGGCGTCGAGGCGGCGGCAGGCGACTTGTTTTAAGCTTCAACACTGTTTTGGACATGCCGCAAACGCTTTACTGAACTGCCTGTGTTTGTGCGCCTTCAAATCATAATTCTTGGCCAAGTTTGGTCCTCGGCTCAGAGTGAAGTATCCCTTTGGGTGTTCGATGGTGCCGATTTTGTACCGGGCCTACTTTGTCTGAGATACCTAGTAGATAATACTTTTATATTACGTTAAAATCATTATATATATCTTTTTATCTATATAGAAATAAGTAGTGCTTATAGCTTTATATGATCTCTTAGTATATTAGCATATCTCTTAGCATATTATTATATCTCTTACTATATTAATACATCTCTTCTTTTAAGATTCTTAATTGGTTAACATCCTTGTTCGGTACAAAATTGGCACCTTCAAACACCCAAAGGGATGCCGTGCGCTGGGCGTGAGCCGTGGCGCATCTAGGTCACCGAGGCGTCTTTCCTCAGTACGATCCAAGACTTCACTAGCGCCGCCTCATTTTCGAGAGGGTAGTCTATTCTGTATATACAATAATTGGTATGCATATCTACTGGGTGGCTTTTGGCGAGTGCGCTCCGCCGACCAGCCCGTTGATTAATAAAAAAAACTCATCTGTTCGATGCTAGACGCCCAGGAGTAAGCCCCGTCCCGGGGGTTATATACCCATACAGCCGTACGAATGCCCATATATAGTGAAGAAGAAGAAAAAGAGAGAGAGAGCGAGACGGAGGAAAAGCGAGGTGCGAGGTGCGCTTTGTAAAGTGCAGACTTTGTCGTCGCTGGTCTGTCATGACCTATGGTATTTCCTTCCCGCCATGCTTCAATTAAACGCCGACGAACTCCGTTTGAGCCGGTGACGAGGAGATGATCAACACAGAGCGCACGTGGTGTCTCCTATCCCCCCTGACAAGCGGACCCCAAATGCCAAGAAAGCAGACTTCCAAACCGAGGGAAAAAATGGGCGGTCCATAAAGACCTCATTCAGCCCATCAGACGAACGTTTCCCAAGATGCAATGTTTCCATGATTAGTTATTCAACGGACAAATTCTTCTTCCAACCCGTTGTTGGAATCGGCTTCTCGAGGCGCAGTATCCACAGTAGATAATCTTCGACTGGGAGGAAGAGGCACAATACGCGATTGCACATGAAGCCCGCCATGACGACAAACACGGCGGCAAAGGCATCGAGGAAGTAGTGGTTGGCTGTGCTGACAATGGTGATGAGCATCCACGTCGGGTACCAGATGCCGAAAGCAAACATGCAGGCTCTCGCAAAGGCGCTTCGTCTGGCCTCCACCGGGTCGTCGTCCTCGTCGTCGTCGTCCGGGCCCGAGGAGCCAATGGCCAGATTCTCCCGGCATGAGAACAAGCCCTTGACGACGCCGCTCTCGGCAATAAAGGTGCAGCCAATGCAGAAGGCGTAGCCAAAGTGCATGCTGGGCATGGCAGCGAGCAGGTTGACAAAGTCGCCGCCCATCCAGACAGACTCGGCATCCTCCAGGCTGACCGAGTCGACGAATCCGTACTCCTTGGGCAACAGTCGCGGCGGCATGGTGGGGACGAGGATGAAGATGATGAAGGCGAAGAAGTTGGTCAGGGTCATGGTACGACGGACAGTGCAGAACCGAGCGTGCGTCGACGCCGTGGTGTAGTAGTAGGCAAGGAACGATACGGTGCCCGGCAAATGTACAAGGGCGTAACCACGATTCAGAAAGGACAGAACCCACGCTCGGTAATCGCCCGTCTCGGCCCCGCGTAGGAACCAACGCTGGATCTGCCATTCGAGCCACTTTTCGGGGGCCTGTCGATCTCCTCCCCACAGCAAGGCCTCGAAATTCAGGATGGACAGGCCATGCTGCTGGGCCGAATCCCACATGCCCTTCTGGCCGCCATAGGTCGCCTGGGCGAGGACCTTGGTGTAGCGGTACGCGCCGAAGCTCACGCCCCAGTAGAACATTTCAATCAGGAAGGGAAACTTTTGCAGGACGCGAGAGTGAAAGTTTGTGGCGAAGCGGCTCGAGTTGGGCGTCGTGAAGCGCAGGCAGCTGCCGCAGGAGCGGTACTTGGGAGGGTACTGGTCGCTCTGCCTGCGAAACAGGAGATGGCTGAACTCGTCAGAACTCCTGGGCGATTCCTCGTCGGGGAGCGGCTGGTATCGATCCCTTGGTTTGAAAAGAGAGTAGTTCTTCCTGCGCGTAAAGAACATGGCCAGGAGGAGCACAGCGACGGTAAGCTAGACAGAGGCGCAACAACCAGAGATTCCAAGTCAGCCACGGAAACGCAGACGATGAATACAGGCAGGCGGTCGCAGCAAAAGGCAATGCGCTGCCAAATAGCTCAGAGACGACGAGGCAATTGCAGGATCGGTCTGGAGTTCTTGTTTCGTGGAACTTGGTAACTTACAACGGGCTCGACAAAGTCGGGCACTGGAATTCCATGCGCCGCCTTCCATCCTCCCTCGGGCGTATCGTCGAAAACTTGAGAAGCGGCCATGATGAGAAACAATGATTTTTTTTCTCTCCCTATGGCATGTTACAACTACTGGCGGCACCCAACGAAAAAAAAACCCCCCGTCGAGCTTGGAGAGCTTGGATGAATTGCCGTTCCAACCGCGACAGGCTGTACACGTGCTACCTGACGCAGCTTGGGGTGAGGCGGTGTCAAGCGTCGACTGCCGAAAGGAGACGGTGGCTTGGTTGGCTGGCTGGCCACACGTCAAGTAACTGTGCAGCAGAGGCGGGGGAGATGGAGAAGCGTCGATGTCTGTTGACAACCTACACCACAAAATGGCTCAATTGCGTACTTGTGAAGAGGAAGAAGTCGACGAGGTGGAGGAGGAAGAAAACGAGAAACGGAGAGCAGTGCAAAAAGCCAAGGCAAAAGTCAAGTCAGGGAGCTGCGTTGCCAACGTCACCAGATGGCCACAGGCTTGCTACGTACACATCCCCGAGCGAGGCGGCTTGACGCCGTCTGGTGCGCCAAGTTGTCAGTTTTGCGGACTGCAGGACGCCGTCTTGGCCAGGGACTGGTGCGAAAAGTCCGGCCGCCGTCGCCGTGATCCGTTCATGGTGCAAGGCTGCAAGCCCGGTCTCGGTCTGGTCGCATCGCCGCCAGCAACTTGTTGTGGCTCCTCAGTCAAAAGCTGGCAAACACGTCTCCACGGTTTTCACCGTCTCGAGCCAAACCAATATCATTCAGCGTTGTAATGTAAATACGGGGAAGCCCTTGGAGAACTCACCCCCCTCCCCCTCTTCGTTCGCTGTCCTTGTTCCAGTCCCCCTTATGCCCCAACCGCGACTATGCCCGGGTCGTGTCTACTCTTGTGTCTGATGCAACTGCAAGGGGAGGGATACAATCCAGTGTGCTTCATCTTTGCCTAGATCCGCAGAGCCTCCGATACGCTTTGCACAGCCTTCCCGTCCCCAGCATCCCACATCGTGGGCCGGCAGTGGAATCGTTCCATGGTCAACACCAGCCCCGTGTTCACATAATCTTGTAGTGTCTCAACCGTCGCAGACTGCTATGACGCCCGTTTCTGTGTAAAACAGTCTGGTGTTGCCAGAGTTGCTGGAATGTCTGCCCGTGCCCGTAGTTCGGCCCGCCATGGCGGCTCCCCCATTGGCCCCCTTCGGCCCCCTTCTCTTGAGCTTGTCGAGAGACGAGGCGCATGCCAAGAGGCTAGGGGGACAGGTGGCAGAGATTACACGGAGTAGTAGTACTACTACTGCTTGATGGTGTGTGGGTGTCGAGGTGCGGCGGGCTGGTGAAGCCTTGCACGTCGTAGCTCGTGAGCACGCGACATCTCTCGACTTTGTGGGACGTTTGGCGACGCTGTGCGCAATGTTTGCGGGTTGTGCAGGTGGCGTGCGGGTACTGAGGCGAACATGGGCTCCGCGCCCCTTTGCTATCGGCCGACGTCACCACTCTACCACGGCCATCGGCAACAAAAGTCGACGTTGTGTTAAGCTCGTCTGCCTCCTAAACCCCGTCGGCCTTGATCAAGTCGCCGCGACTGCAAGCTCAACACTGAACATGCAAGCACTGTGGCTCTCATGCCCCTGTACAGCATCTGTACATACGCACTACCGATTACGTACATGAATAGAATCCAGATGTCAATGGCACCTGCCGCGCTTCTCTCTCCAGCACATGCGGCAGGTGAGAGGCACTACCAACCAGCCCTACCTGCCATGTCTGCTGGTTGGACCTGCCCAAGACAGAGTGCGTGGCGATGCAAAACCGGACTCCGGCACACTTCTCCAAAGCCGTGGCTGGTGCCAAGAAAACTACTTGGGCCAAGCGCAAGGATTTTTCGGAACCTGCGGCGCCAGCAGCCAATCCTCGCAGCCGCCTTCCCTTGAGCTGACCACGCCGCTGTGGGGATTGTTGTTGTCCAGTCGAGTGCATTTGCTTGCACGGCCATCGCCATTTGCACAAAGTCGACGACTTACGCGGCCCGTCCACGACAACAACAACTTGTCCGCCGATGCTGCCAAGGCCGTCCGGTCCATCAATGTCCCAGGGAAAAGCGAGTGTGACTGCGCACTGGTGTTCTGCACATCCTGTGCCTGATTGTCCCGTCAAATCCTGCGTCACCATCGCCAGCGCTAGTGTGCCATCTTTCTTCATTCCGTCTTGGCAGCTTGGCTGAGCAACTTCTGTCAATCGCCTTGCAGTCCAAATCGTCACGTGTTGATCATACGCGGGTTGCACACGCAGCCATCGCTGGAAATAACTGTCGTCCATTCGCCCGGCCGATCCATTCCCAACCGTTGTCAAAATACCGGTCCCAGCCAGGTCCAAGACACGGCAGGAGAAACAGCAATAAAATTAAGGTTACTTTGGGACCCGAGCGAGGCCCGCCAGGCTCTCTCTCGCGGCTTCTCCAGTTCATGCCTCTACGGTGCACACCCTTGAAATGAGGCTGTTTGGTCGGCCATGCTTCACTTCATGCAGGGACGTTCCACAGCGTTGGCTGATACCGCGCCGTGGTTCGGAGAGCGGATCGCGCGCCAAGTTCCAAGTCCGTCTGTCTGCATGTATGGGGGCGTGGAGCGCGTCTGATGGTGCGTGCTGGGACGCATCGGTAGTTTGCGCCTACCGACTCTCCGGCTCGTTCAGACAACTCATCAATCCCGGACAGACCGCCATTGCAGGCCTCCTGGAACCCGGATGCGAACTGGTGCTGCTCAACAACATCACGCAACTCTGATGTATGTGTCCGCAGATGGCATGGCAGCCGAGGCCGCAACTAAGTCATGTCACCGTCATGATGGTCTTGACTGCATGGATGGATGGCAGGTTGACATGAGTAAGTAGTCCCGGCGGCAATGCCAACAGCGTCCTTTGCAGAGACCATCTTTTTCCTTTTCAGCTAGCATGCCTGCCACGTTCTGGATTGTTGGCCTCATTATGTGAACATGACTCTTCTCCAAGCAGGTCAGAAATGCACATCGAGGAAATACGGTCGCTTGGACTAATATTACTGCCTACAAGGATACGCCTACCATGTCCTGTCATGCAACGTACTGGGTTTGGCGAGTTTGCCCTCCCTTCAAGACGAAAAGTGCCCAGTCCGGATGATTAGCAGCCTTGTCGCATAAAAAAAAATACACTGTGCTTAGATTTGTTGCGACCTGGAAGGGACTGGAAGGGACTTTTCGTGTCATCTGTGCGCTATTCTTCCTAGCTAATACTCGACTAGAAGCTCTAGAAAAAGGGGTCAAATCCGGCTTCCTAGCTGCGGGCAGCCACCGCGTACAGCCCAATGACCCAATTCCCGGGAACAGCAGATGGCGCCGGCAGGGAGAGAAATAGTTATCCCTGGCTATTATCTGACCGAGCTCGTTATAACCCCACGACTCGATACCCGGGCTGTCATTGGGAGCTACTACTAGGGATGCCAACGTAGTTATCAGAGATGCTGGGAGACGTGATTTCTTGACTGGAAGGACTCCTGGCAGATGCCGCAGGTTCGTCGCTGTTCATCCTTGCGATGGAGCTGTTGAAGCCGCTGCTGCTCTTGTTGCGATCTAGCCTATCGATGGCCATCGTCGCGTTGGCCTTCGGGCCGGGCCGAGCCGGGCCGAAGGGTTGTGACGTGGTGGTTGAAGAAGACTGCCGTGCTTGTTGAATTGAACAAGACTGAAGCCAGGAGGCTCGGGGCAAGCTACTGATAGATATAGCCGGGTCGTTGGATTGATGCTGCCGTACGAGGCCTAGTAAAAGGGATGGATGGCCTTGACGGGCTGCGAGGTGACGTTGGCCGACCATGTCGTCGGATTCGGTAGGTCTAGTTGCAAAATAGAAACCCAAGACAATACATAGTAGTAATGTGAAATTGCTACCATTCATTGCTTCAGATGAGGTGATACTTGCTCGAGCGCTGCCACCGCGCAAGCTTCATCAAGATGTTCGCCGGGAGCAAAACACCACCACGGCCAACCATGACTGTTGATACGCTGTATTGGTCTTTGGCGCAGCTCTCGACAGCCTTCTAAGTTATATCAAGAGCGAGCACTTGAGGCCAAGCGGAATATTGGCGTTCGCATGAGGTCCGCAGATGCAGTAATGGTCCAGAATTTGAGCATCATGACTCCTCTTCCTGTTTGAAGTATAGTTACCGATCCAAATGGTTCTAGTATAGTGTTATTTGAAGCGGCAATGGGTAGAATTAGGTTGATGATGTGTTCGAAGACTTTTGTTCAAGTCTGTCTTGCATAACCTGTCGGGTAGGAGGGAGGAGAGGAGACTTCCATAAGCCCAAGTAATTTTCTAAGAAAATTTCCCTAGGTATGCGTTATGTAGTTTAAGCGCTTATGTGCTCACACAGCCCAGCTGGTTCGTGCCCCATTCGGCTCATTTCTAATTAAGTGACAAAGAATTCATTTATTTATTGTACTCGATGGGCTTTGTGTCGTAGACATGTCAGCTGTGGGTGAGCAAGCACGTGGGACAATCATACAGGTCGCTGCGTTGAGACGAGAATTCAGAGGCATTTGCTTGTTAAAAAAATCTAGTAAAGAAGCTTATGTGTTGGAGACAACTATGCAACCGATTGAAGATTTGGTCAACTGCACAGCTTGGATGGTGACCTCACAATCGCGTACTCCATGCTGCTGTTTGTCGTAAAAGAACGAGCACGAAACGGGTTGCGCCCTGGAAACACTACTGAGAAATTTCAGGAATGCATGAAGCCCATCAGGGAACGGGTCCTTGGAAATCTCAACTTTGAGCCCAGTGTCTCGCTGGCAAGTGATATTACCACCGGGGCGAAATTCGATCTGGCCGACATGATCAACACCATCATAGGTGGAGGCAAACATGGTTGTGACAAGGACAAGTGCATCATTGGCCCTAAAGAAATGTCTTATATCGGCAATAATTCCAGATGGAAAGGGAAACAGTTGGATTTTCACGTCCCGCTGCAAGGAGCTGGTTTCGTAGACCGAATTTGACCATTGTCCTGTCTCATCGGTTAACAGTGTCGTCTGGCCTTTCTAATTTACCGTCTCTTGGTACTAGGAAGTCATGATGGTCATAAAGAAGCGGCTGATAAAGAGAGAAATTATTAATTGACGTTTCTGCATCCCTGGCGATGACACGCGACGATGTTTCCTCTCTTCATGGGGGATGAGTTACCCGACATAAAAATTACATAGCTACTCAAGATAACCAACCAGTTTAGCCACCCATCCTTGCCGAGCAGAAAATAGCAGGAATAATTACGGATACTCATTAAGCCATGTCACAGAAAAAAGCGGCTCATGGAATCCTCGGACCAGACTGAGTTTTGGAGCAACGCCGCCTCGCCAATTACTAAGAAGTCGAGTATGTACATCAAGAGAGATAAAAGTCAAGGGAAATGGTTGGGAGTATTTTTGCGCATCAGTGGATATAGTCCTCGGACCCCTGAAACCCGCTGATTACCGTACTAGCCACGACCTCGTTTACGCAAGATCCAGGATCTCGTCTTATCTATCAGGCGTATTCCCAACTTACGACTCGTCTTCCCGCAGGTCCCTACCTCTCGTAGGATATATACACCCATAAGAGCATGTGCCCGAAAAGTCAAGCACGTAAGGACAAAACACGCAAAGAATTATATTATACCTAGGTACGGAGTGCCCTGCTATATATACACGTCTATGCCAGGAACAAGCCCTCACTCCAGCTCCTCGTCAACGCACCCTCTCGGCCCGTTGACAGGATTACACCGTGCCACCTTGCCGTCCCCAAGCTCAACGACATACTCGCACCCGCCGTACCGCTCGCTCATGCCCGCCACCGGGAAATCCGTAGAAACAATGTGCGCGCCGGACTTGAACGCCCCGTCGCGCTGGATCGTGCTGCAGTCTCGCACCGTGCTCAGCGCCGAATCGGCCAGTGCTCGCACCAGGTAGTTCGCCTTGACCTGCTCCTGCACATTCTGGATGTACGCATCCGTCACCGGATCGTTCAGCTGTCACCAGTCAGGTACATATTCGGACTATCAAAAAAAAAAAGGGCTGCCCCGTAGAGATAAGAAAAGAAGAAAAAAAATATCAATTTACCTTTTGAAAAGCGCAGTCTGCCCTCCCCGGTGCGGAATTCGTAAACAATACTCTGCCTTCCAAGTTTGGCCTTCCCTCGATGTACTTTTCGTTGACGGGGTCTTCGGGCCCGTTGTCCATGAGGAACAAGACCCTGCCTCTTGCTGAATCCAGATCCGGCCAGCCGTACTTGAGGACAGACTCCTCGAGCGTCATGCCGGGCCGGCGAATGTCGTCCGGCGTGATGAGCTGCCTGCTTGTGAAGACGGAGCGGATCTCGGCGTCCAGCCCGTCCAGCAGCGTGGTATTATCCCAGGGAATGACTTTGGCGCCGCCTTGCGACTGCCCCAGCGGGTTGGCCGTCTTGAACTCAGTCATGATGGGGATTGGCACCGCCCACGGATTGGCGTCCAAAAAGGACTTGATGACGCCGAGGCAGGCCGTGAATGTCGTGCAGACGGTGTGGATGTCGAGGTCGGGAATGTGCAAGACCTTGGTCGAGGGCGTTTGGAACTCGGGCCCCGTGTTATAGGGCTGCCCGGCGAGCGCCTTGATGAGTGGTTTTGCGTAGTTGCCGCCCTCGGGATCAGCCAGGACGTCCAGTCTATATATTGTCTGTCAGCCCTCGGCAAGTATACACACCCACGCAGCGCAGGATGAGGCGGGGGACTCACTCCAGGTTTCGCACATGCTGTTCCTGAAGCTGCGTTTCCAGCGGAGGGTGTCCGTAAAACAGGTCCTGGGTGTCAGCGCTGAGGTTGAGCATCAGGGCCTTCTCCTCGTCTGGCGCCTCGACGTGGTAGCTGTTGTGCGTGCCGACAACTTGAATCTGGTTCAGCCGGATGGCGTCTCCCCAGACCAGCCCGTTGCGAGTGTAATCCTTGCTGCATGCCGCACCGAGCACGGCCGGTGCGCCGCCCAGGACCAGAATGCGCTTCAGACTCTGCGAATTCATCAGTCCTCGTGGATGGATACTGCGGCAATGCCAACGAAACATACCATTGCTTGACTTGATTTGCGGAGCTCTGACAAGTGAGGTCCTACGACGAGGGAGGAAGGTGCTATGAGGAAAAGGCGGTCGGTGGGAGGTACAAGGTATTTAAACGCATCAGGTACTTGCCATCGCGCTCTATACTATAGTACTTATATTATAGCACTGAGTATACTAGTGCGTACATCTTGGCGGGCTAGTAACTATTCTGCCGCAGACTGCATGCACATGTACGTACGACGCGTGCCGTTTTCACATGAGCCCATGTGGCCAGGTCCGAGCTATCCAGTTATCTTTTGGACTGTGGAAGTGGCCCGGCTGGTGGAGTCCTAGAGAGAAGAGACTCCCTCCCTACATACGAATGGAGCATTGTAAATTAAAGTTAATTTCAACATTATCGTTACGGCAAACCCCCGCTAGCCACGACCCATGAGCTTCTTTCCAACATGCCGGCTCTTTTGCCTTTTTGCTCAAGTGCTTGTTGATGCAACTTCACATATCAAGAACCACACACGGTGTTATTTGTATTGCAGATATTAATCGGGCGCATGCAAAATCCATACATTCCAGCTCAGAAGGCAACAGTCACCACCCGCAATCGCCAAATGCTAATCTATCCTGCCTTGAAGCGTATGATACAGAATGAATCCATAAACTCCGGACCCCTTCGTGGTGGTGCAAAACACCCCATGACAATTGTCATCCCATTTGCTATGCACTAAGTCCTACGCGCACCTACATTTTCTGGGTCTCCCGCTTCGCCTAAGTCCCGACTCTTCGATCAGTTTGACCGTTACCGAGTCTTGAACTTCGTCGCTAGACTTCTCCTTCTTTTTGATTGGTGCACGCAGTAATCTCCGACCCCTCTCGGGCTCACTCGGCTCTTCTGTCTCTTCCCTCTCCGGCAAACACTTTCTGCCTCGAGCTTTGCGCTCGTCATTCGTGCCTAAGAATCTATGCACAATCCTATGATCCAGGATCCGCTCTTCCTTATCTGAGGGCCCTGCCTTTTCAGTCTTGGGCCAGATGTATCCGTACAACTTGGAATGTCGTTCGCAGCGGGGGCACGCCGACCGCGTATAGTAAGCGTTTTGCTGTACAAAGTATGCGTTGCAGACTGTGCATTGAATCCATGCCATTTCCGGTTCAGAGAGAAGTAATGGCGTGAGAACGTAATCACCAGGTCTGCGCACCTTGGCTGGGGGTGAAGCCTGCTTACTAAAACTGCGTCGTCTGCTCTTGGGCCGAGGCTGCTCTTCTTCGTCGACGTTTGTGGCTATTTGGGACATATCAACTGCCTCTATGCTCGCGGAAATAGGAGCCGTAACCTCCGGCTCAGAGCTGCTAGGTGCGTTAAGAATAGCCGATATTGACATGGCGCTGAGTTCTGGTTTCGACGTCGCGGATGATTCGTTCGTGTCGCCGTCCTTGGTGGATTGTGGTGACTGTTGACTCTGTATGCTCTCAGGGGAAAAGGGTGCAATGGCTGTAATGGTGTGGTCTTCTTTTTGGTCGGCGCTCCCCTTCAGCCGATTTGCCAATAACCTGATTGGCGTCTCAGGCACGGGCTCAGGACTGTCCTTCTCGGGCGATGTGACATCTGTCTCAACAGCCTCCCCATTACTTGACAATATACTCTCGCTTACAGAACTTCCTCTTGAAGCCGCAGGATGGAGCTCTTGTTCAATCGTGTGTTTGGGCTTCTTTGCCGGTGTGATGGGCGGCGTTGCCATGGTATCAGCTTTTCGCTTTCGGCCGACTGGTGAGCCAGGCGCCGGCGACACCGCGCCGGACGAACCGTAAGCATTGCTGAGCCGTGAGCTCTTTGCCTTGGTTCTTGGAACTCGCGGACGAATTCCAGGTGTAACAGAGGGAGTTCGAGATCCACCAACGCTATCCTCCCGTCGACGTCGCCGCAGAGCATACGTCTCGGGCCTGTCTTCTTCCGCACTTGTCTGAATACTTACGGCGCCTTCCTCAGGCTCCCAACCGTTCCTTAGTCCCTTTTCGCATGTGCCGCATAGACACTCGCAGTTGTCCTCGCCAAAATAGCTTTCTCCATACGTGACAGTAATCTCTTCGCCCGATTCAATAGGACGTATAGCAACAATCTCAATGCCAGCGTTGCTAGTCGTCATCAATTTGGCATTCGCATTACAGTCGTGGTTTGCAAATCGCGCGGGACCCATGAAGAGACTTGTGCTCTTACTCCTCGAGCTAATCACCATGCTGAAATCCTTCTTGCGTGCCGCAATCTCCGTCTCTTCCTCGGGCGTGATGACAACCTGAATACCCGACAGGTACTTGATCGATTCATTACGTTTAATGTACCGCCTTGCCGTGATACTTGCTTCATGCGAGACAATCGTATATCGGTTAGTGGAGCTGACCTCCCAAGGGCAATCCGGCAGGTAAATCTGCAAGTAACGTCGCAGGTGTCGCTTGAAGTCGTCCTTTTCCCTGTCTGTCTTCAATTTGTTCATGAACTTCCTCAGTCCATCCATTGCAAGCAGCTTCTCCTCTGCCGCCGCCAAGTCTTTCCACAGGACCAACTCGTCCTGAATAATCTTCGCAATGGCGTTCTCCGACAGGCCCCGCGAGGGGTGATATGACGGGCGATTCTTGGGGACCGTCGTCCAGTAATAGACCTGTATCCGCACTGTTAGTTTTTTGAGTCCCCGAGGGTCCCGTTCACCAGACCGCAGAATCACTGACATGGTCGACCAGTGCATCCGTCAAGATGTCGTCGTAGGCAGACAATTGTGCCAAAGTGAGACGATGCCTCGCCGGCGCAGCCTTTGGCGCTGGCATCGTTGCCAATGACACTCTGTGAAAGCGTTGCGCCCCCCCGCGATCCGGAAGCGTGGCAAGATCCCAAGTCCACCGGGCCAGAAATCTGTCCAAATGAGCTTCGCCCTCAGCTGAACTTGACAGACACCTGAGCCGTAGGTGAAAATGCCCAGGCCGCTTTGCGCTTATCTCACCCGCAGCCGGACAGCCGCAGTCGACCAGGCAAAATGACCAAGTTTCAGCTCGCAGCCCGCTCCTTCCTCAAAAATGTCATACTCAACCCGTCTCAAACCAAGTGTACACCTTGCACTCAAAGCCGGCAGACCATGTGGACAACGGAAGGAAATATCGGAAAAGGAGAGTGATTAGTGAGAGACGGTATGTTCAGAAATGAGAGCTCCCTGCTTTCAGAGACACGCGACCACGGACCCGGCAGGTTCAAACATGATCAAACTCGAAGGAGTGAAGTTGTGTTGAGTCCTGCCGGTGAGCTTGAGCCATTCCAAATTGCGGCTTTCCCTCCAAGCCCCCCTCTGATGTGCCCCCTGCGCTGGGTAGGCCCGCCCAGCCTCCCCATAAAATGACTTTGGCCCAGCAACCGCAGGAGGTACATGCGCAGGAGCTCGGAATGCAGGGGAGTGCCGGCCTTTCTTGGGGAAACGTGGCGCCAGGTGCACGTGACTGTCAATTTCCGAAAAGTCTCCCGACGCCGAAAGCTGAGGACTGGGATCTGGCTGAGGAGGCGATGCAGCATTGAGGTTTGCGCGGACAAGGCCAAAATGATTCAATTAAAGGTATGTCGGAAGACAATGAACTATTCTACGCGTGTTTTCTAATGGAAAATAGACGATGCTTAACTGCATCGACAACTCGGGCGCCGCCCTCGTCGAATGCGCCCTGGTCGTTGGTCAAAAGCGGCATGCTCGCATAGGTACGTCGCGGCCATGCTCTCGGAGCGCCGGGTCAAGGAGAACACACACAAAAGGGGGAAAAAAAAAGTCTAACTGGTACAGGTGACCGGATCGTCGTTGTCGTCCAGGAACAAAGAGGTGCTTCGTCCTCTGGTATGGCGGGCATCTCAGCCGCCGCCAAGGTCAAACGCGGCGATATTCGACACGCCGTTGTAGTGCGAACCAGATACCCTACTCAGCGACGTGACGGATCCGTGGTCCGCTTCGACGACAATGCGTGCGTCTTGCTCAACAAGTCTGGCGATCCGGTGGGATCACGAATCAATGGTGTCGTTGGCGCAGAGTTGAAGAGGAAGAAGTGGAGCAAGATTTTGTCCATGGCGCCTATGCAAGCATAAGGGAGGCAATGCTGGCATTTGCTTTGAGCAAAGAGAGGAACAGGCGATGAAGAACAGTCAAAGGGTATCGGAAAGGAGGTCAAAAAGGATGACACCCTCATGGGACGGGATACGTTGTACAATTATATTTGGCATTTGCGCGGCGTTTAGACTAGAGCAAGAAGCTTAATTCCAATCTCATAACATGTACATGTACATCAATGACCATGGACTGGCCACTAAACTTCACTTCATCACACTGTGAATATTAATTTGACTTTGTAGCAATGTAATTGCATTGTCAACCTACAATCCTCCACCTCCTACTGACTTTGCTCCAATGGTCATGCCCAGTTTTGCATGAACAAAAACATGTACAGTAGCTCTAGTACACAATGCGCCGTTTTCTTTGTCCTGAAACGCCCATAATCAAATCTGATGCAAATCAAACCAATCCCATCCTTCTTTCCCATCTATCCACCTATGTAGTAACATAAACCCGGTCTGGACATTGGGGAGGTATCATGACTCGTAATGACTATTAGTCGAAGATATGGCCGCATTCGCAGCAGACATAAAACAATTTCTTCCCGTCCAGCCAAGTTAGCAAGCTGCACATAAAACCCCACAAATTTGAGACTCAATCATGACTCAAAAGAGCATGAATTGGATTGTTGGATGGCTTACCATGCCAGTTTCGGCACTTCGCTCCTGAGATTGGAAAAACACGGCCTCTTCGTGGTTGCACCTGGGGCACGTCTTGTTCGACCGTGGGAGCTGTGGCCAAGAAGGAAAAGCAAAACTCGTGTCAGCCAGCAAGTTCAAAGCAAGATAAACGAGTTCCAACAAAAAAAGGACACGCGCATCCGCCGCAACTCCTAGCTACGCTTGCACCACAATAATGACTCGCCTGCCCTGTTGCCAGTCCCGGTAATGAATATACTGATATCGACGCGAGCGATGCCGTTTGACGTTGGTAAATGTCGCACGTATTGTAGAAGTTCATAACTTGATCTCGACCCCATTTCAACACGTAATGGTCCTGACGTGGTAGTCTGAGAGACCTGACTCCGAATTCGCAACAGAATTGAAATCAGACGAGGTAGGGGTGTAGACTTCGTCCTCGGCTTCGTCCATGAGTTCTTCGTCGTACTCGGCAAAAGGATCATCGTAACCGTCCAATGGGACAAATTGGCTCAGGCTGGTCCATTCCATCTCTGCCTCATTATCCTTCTCTTCCTCCCGTCGAGGTGCAGTCATATCTGCTGCCAAATCCCCACAGATATAGCAAAAAACAGGGCAGCCGCAATATAAGCAGATGACACGCGGGACATGACTAACCGTTGGATCAGATCCAACATCCTGGGTCACACCGGCAGTTTCGCCAGCAGAGTTATTCAGGACATTGCGGAACACACAGGTAGACTGGGCTTCTTCAGTGTACTGGCACGTTCGGCAGGTGAATTGCAATTTGTGCGCGTCTTCATCTTCCTTGGGGTATAACATGTTGGAGCATTCTGAACAGAATCGAAAGGTAATCTGCTCGAGCTTCTTGGAGCCAGAGTCTTCGTATGAGGTTGTCGACTGGGGAGTGGCCATTGCTACAGCGTGTGTGTTTATCTAAGGATAAAAATTTGCTGAATGATGTTGGGTTGGATTGGATCTGGACAGCTTCTCCGACAGCGGTGGATGGGATCGACAAGCGTGGCGAACTGCGTCGTTGAATGGCCGGGCCGAAACCTTTCTAGAGACAGCGACGGCGCCTTTGGCTCTGCGAAATGAGCAGCGGTCGAAGATGGCTGTGTTGATGAAGAAGCAACACAACAAGACGCGTTGACGAAGAGGAGGCAAGGCCCTTTTGTGGTGGTTGGGCAAAGCGAGGCGAGTTTGAGGGCAAGTGGGCGGCCTGGACAAATAGTGGGGCAAGCCAGCAGGCAGAGATGCGCCACGCATTATGTAATTACCGAGAGGAGTATTCAATGTTGACAGAATCTGGGCCCGCGCTTGGTCACTTCAATGTGGAATGCAGATGACTATTCATGAGGTGTCTTGCGACTCTTCAGTCAGTCGCCTGGCCTTTTCCATGTTTTAAGCGGGTGGCGTCGTTGTCCAGCATGATCTGGACCTTGTCTGTGGTCCCGAGTACTACGTTCATTCCCAGGCGGCTAAATGCTTGTTGTCGATGGACTCGGAGTCATTATGCATCGGGTACTCAGTGCCTCGGTCAGATCAACAATGTTGGCCAGTCATTCATTGATCATCTCACCCAAGAACGAAGACAAATCAGACCCTGGCCGTCGACTATCACATCTGAATTATGCACAGCCAAGAGTCCCAGTTCACGATTGAAGCAGGGTCACTGCTACGATCTTCCCCAAAACACCCACCGAACAGAACAGCCCCGTCCCACACAGAATGTTGTCAGACACTCGACAATGGACATTGTCCCGATGCATTCATTGCTCTGCAATCCCACGTGCATGTACCTAGGTAACCTACCTACCTGGCGAGGTAGGGTCATCTGTAGCATCACCATCCGAGGGATTGTCAAAACGGAAGCCATTGAAAACACATCCCCCGGAACACCTCCATAGACATTGGAACGTGACCCTTTTAAAATGGGACGCCGGTGGTTGAGGCCGAATCGCGTGATGGACTGTTTGATTAGTGGCTTGTATGGAGTACATGCTTGAATATTGGCGCCCAAACTCTATCTACTCCTACTAGTACCAGTTGACATGTTCACGCGGGGGAGCAGGTTCAGTCAATGTCAAACGATGCCAGTCTTTTAAGCAAGGCGCAAGAGCTAATGGCGAAACACCTTGCAACTAAACATTTAAAAGCTTGTCTGGCACGAGGCTCTCCACTCACACAACTAATAACGCAACCCCCTCATTCAACAGGGCCAATCTAAGCAGTCAAGATTTGATTTCCATCCCGGACTCCGGGAACATGGAAGCCACACGTGCATCCAACCAACCAGCCAACCGCCCTGTTGTCCAGCAGACTCGAGACGTGGGGCCGCCCCAGGCGGCGCCTGGTGAAATTGATTGCCTACTGCTAGGTACGGAGTACTTGCTGGCATGTCTGGTCTGGTGGCACCCAGGCGCCCTCAAGCGCTCCATGTCCGTTCAATGTTAGCACGTACCGCTAGCACGGCTCTGGACGAGGTCACTTGGCCTGGTGTCTGCACCGCACCCCATTGGCTGGCTGCGCGTCTTCGCCCATCGGGGCACGTCATTCCCTGCCCTGAGCCCCGACTAGATACCCCGCTGTTTCTGCCCTCGTCCACCCCCGGCAGCCCGTCAGCCCGTCAACCCGTCAACGGGTCGCCTGGGGAAAGCTCTTCAAGCTGCCTCGTCCAAAGCGCATCATCGCCAACCGACCTGCTCCTTGTCCTAATCACCTCGCCCTCGACCACCTCTCGACTCCGACTCCGATTCCGACTCTGCATCCGCGACCCAAAAACGTGACAAGTGCATCGCTGCAACGCTTTGCCATTCTCCTCCATCCCCATCTTTATATAAATACTTGGTGTACCTATTGTTTGTCCAAGCCTGCCGATCATCCTCGTCGACAGCTGCCTCTCTCTCCTCCTCTCTGCCACCGCAACCCCCCCTCTCCCATTCTTCGCATCCGCACATCTTCTTACCTCCACCCATCATGGTATGTCAAGAATACTCCCCGTCTACCCCCCGAAACTCGCAGCTCGTCACCGACGCAGCACTCGCTGCATTGCGCTGCGCTGCGCTCACCGTCGTCATGGCATGCCACAATTCCTACCCCTCTTCTTCCCTCGCGAGACATGGCTAACAAGTCCGAAGGCTGATACAGGTCTCCCCCCCAACTGGGAGGTGCGCCACTCCAATTCCAAGAATCTCCCATACTACTTCAACTCTGTCGAAAAAGTCTCCCGCTGGGAACCGCCGCAAGGCACCGACACCGAGAAGCTAAAGCACTACATGGGAGCCCACCACAGCGCCGGCTCGCGGCCCGGCGCGGTGCCAGGTGTTCCTGACGGCAAGATTCGCGCCGCACACTTGTTGGTGAAGCACAAGGATAGCAGACGGCCTAGCAGTTGGCGAGAAGTATGGATTGCTCCTTTGTCCATGGCTCCAGCATGAAAAGAGTTCAGTGTTATTAACGGCGCCATAGTCTGAAATTACACGCTCCAAGGACGACGCTATGGAAGTCATCAAGGCCCACGAAGCAAAAATTAAGTCTGGCGCCATTTCTCTTGGCGATTTGGCCCCTACCGAGTCGGATTGCTCGTCTGCCCGTAAGCGCGGCGACCTGGGCTACTTTGGCCGTGGGGATATGCAGAAGGAGTTTGAGGATGCGGCCTTTGCGCTTAAGCCTGGCGAGATGAGCGGCGTCGTCGAGACGGCCAGTGGGTTGCATCTGATTGAGAGGTAAGCCGAAGAACCGCGACGCTTGCTGGGAGATGATTGCTAATCATTGCCGCAGATTGGAGTAGTTCAAGAGGAGCAGCAGTTCTTTTTGACGGTGGTGATGAAGATGGCGGTGGAAGCGATTCCCATCTTGCCGTGGTACTGGTGGCCACAGGACAATGCGAGAAAATTGTACAATGCCGAGTTTACATATTAAAAAAGCTTCAAGTTTCGATTCGAATTCGAGAAAAAAAAAGCGAAACATATCGTGGTGAATCGGTGCCGCGAGCCCTCCTAACACGCGCAGGAAGCTCATATTTATCATGTTCAATTACAGCCATGTTCTTCTGCCTTGCCGCCTCTAAGCTATATTGCAGCGTATGAACAAGCAAGCTGTATATGCAGTCATCATGTGGGACTATGTATACTACCTATTCATTGTGTACCTGTTATTCATGATGCCACGTGTTGGAAAAGCCGACTCTTATCTATCGTCCAGCGATGGCCATAAAGGAGTTCCTGGCCAAAGAAGAAGCCTTTTGTCCAACCAAGTCCATTTCTCATAAGCCTCGTATGCCTCATCATCTAGATACAGCTCGTTATTCACCTTGAAGCCAGCTTCAGGGCGGTATTTTTGAACGGTTCCAAGGTTGTAAACACGACTGTCATGACGCCAAACATGGTCATGGATAGCGCCGCGTATGGTGCCGCGCGACTCTTCACCTCGTAGAGATACGATACCCCCATGGCGGCCCCGTTGATGCCGATGGCAGTCCCAGCTGCGACGGTAACCGGGCCGTCGTCGTCGATTTTCCCCTCGCCGGCTTTGTCTTGCGGCTCGGGCTGGACCGTTGGCACGGACAGCTTGTCCAGGAGCACGGGGTACATTAGCTGTCCCAGGATGCCGTTGCTGACCACGAGCGTGGCGTTGAGGGCCACGTTGCCCCCCAGAGCCTTGACGGAGGGCTTGGCGAGGGCGAGGGTGGCGCTTCGGGCGGCAAAGGCCAGCGATTCCTCTGGCTGCAGCCCGAGGGCGCGGGCGAGCATCACGGAGAGGAAGACGTTGCCCGCGGCGGCTGTGGTTGAGAAGAGCAAAGTGGAGATGCCGGACATGCTGAAGAGCTGTTTGCGGCACTCGTACAGCTTGAAGCCCCATGCGACAATGCCGCACTCGAGCAAGGAAAGGGCGAAGTCTCCTGCGCCGAACCATGGGGTTGGGCCGTCCGGCATGAGGGAGTCCGAGGCGACGGCTGTCCAGATGGTGTACAGGGGAGTTCCGCTGCTGAAGTCTCCGAGGACCTTGGCGATGCCGCGGCTGCCTTTGAGCAGGCCCCTTATACGGGTGAAGCCAAGCATCAGGAGGGTGGTTACCAGGACGGGGTTGACCATGGTTGCGAGGCTGTGACGGCACCGCACGTTGGAGCCAAAGAGGTTCGACGACTTGAGCGTGCGCTGGAGTCGTATGGCGACAAGCCAGCAGAGCCACAGGGAGAATCCGTCCAGCGCTCTGCCGTCGTGAACGACGAGCTCCAGAGGAATACCGATGCCTATAATACCGACAAGGCACAGGATGACGTAGCCGTTGCTTCTCAAGATATGCCAGAGGTTTCTATCCCGATCTTGGACTTTGGCTTCCACAACGGGTTGGTTCACTACCGCTCCGTCTTTGACGTCAGCGCGGGAGGATTTTCGGTCCTCTGTTTTTTCAACCGAATCATCTGATGTCAAATACTGCCACGGCCGGTCGTAACATTGGGCTGCAGCCCGCCGAATAGTCCCTCCGACCTCATAGCGTGAAGCAAAGGCGGATACCTTGTTTTCCTTGCCTTGTACGTGTTTCGAAGCGTATGACTGCAAAGTTGTGAGGAGCAATAGGCCCGAAAGGGACAGCAAGAAGACTAAAGTCCAAGAGGCTACGTTTGTAATAGCTACACGTCTGTTAACGTGTGACGGGAAAAGGACAGCCGTTTCGCCTGTTGGAGACGGAGACTCACCAGACGTTGCGATGATGTAGCCAATGTCCCGGATGCCAAGGACATGGTTGAGCAGAATGATGGGCACGCTGAATCCAATCCCGAGCTGGGCGTTGATAAAGTCCACCTGTGTGTTTGCACCAAAGCAAGAGTGAGCCTCCTTCTCCTCGTGCCCCTCCGAGTTGCGCGTGCAGAAAGGGGATGCCACAAACCTTTGATTTGATATGTCGGTGGTAAAAGTCGCCGCAACTCGGACACACCTGGCCAGCAGCTGCCATGACGGAGAAGATGACAATCATGCCCACAATAGACCCAAAGTACTGGAGTTGCGCAGACGCCAGTACGAAGCTCAGGCCCCAGATTGTCAACTCGGTTGCGAGATAGATTGCCGAAACACATACAACCCAAAACAGGTGGTGAATGGCCACGTCCCATCGGTCTCGCCAAACGGTATGGTTAGGCGCGTTTCTCGTCATGATTTCTTGGTTCGGTGGTTCGGTGGTGGTGACAGGAAACAGAGGAATCGCTTAGGACTGAGACTGTTCTTAACACCGAAGAAGCTTGTGACATGGTCCATGGAAAACAGCAATTCGGAGACGAGTAGACATGCTTGGTCTAATTGACGACGTGACGGCTTGTTTCTTTTTTTCTCCCTTACTGTACAACGGTGTGTTTCTGGAAATAGATTTCGGGATCCAGGAGCAACACACCCGTCAATGCCGAGTCGAAGGTTTGAGCTATACGAATGTGTTACACTCAGGGCGTTTTCTTAGGAGCTCCCGGAGATTCGGGCGAAATTATACAAAGGTTAAAAAGATGACAGGGAGGTTGGCCACGATTCATGGCCAATGCTAGGACGGTTGCCAGAGTACAGTGAGTCCATGGTCAGCAAGAAGTGAGGAGCTCGCAGGCCACACGGCCAGAAAAGTCAATTGTACCTGACAGAGACGTCAGTCTGTGCTAGCATCTATTGTATTGGCTGTGGGATGATAATTATTCCAAGACAAGAGTCAAGATGAACATTTAGGAGCCATGTTAACACATATGAGAACTGCCACGGCATGTATGCCTGTTTTGTCTGTGGTGTATACGCAATGGGGACATTTTCAACCAGGTTTACGTACAGACCAGGCCATTTCCATTCCATCTGGGTTCGAATTCGCAATACATGGGACTCTCAAAAGCCTCCTCCGGAGTTTGCCATGGCAGGAAGTCCGCGTCATCATGGCACTGCCGGAACGGAAGACTATTCGGCTAGAGGGAAATTGATATCGGGGCCTGTACAGACAATGCTGGAGATAATGACTCCAAGGACTTGTCTCTGGTTCACAGCATTGGCGCTGCAATACGTCGGGCGATTGTAAACGGTCCGCTCAGGGGTCGAGCATAGCACAGGGCTCGGTGAACGGATAGGAGTTGAACAGAGGCAAGGTACCGCGAACACGAAGAAGTGTGCCGTGACGTTGAAACAATGCATTTGGGGCCTGTGTAAAACAGCCAAGACTTGTCCATTGTATACATTCTGATGGTATCTGATTAGGCGGGGGCCAGTTGAAAGCTGTCAAGCATCACAAAGCAGTGAAGTGATTCATACATGGGGTGAGGACGACGCCTTGCTCGTGAGCCACACGTGGCCGTGACACACCGGCATTAGCTTTGTGCTCAAGGCTGGTCCATCGTGGAGCGTGGCATCGTGGCATCATCCGTGGCCAGGCGTGCGGCAAACATTGAAAGTCTAAAGCTTCGAAACATGACATGGAGGTCTGGTACCGCACGTGCGAGCAATATGCCATGCACCCATCTGCAGTGCCGCCCAGCGAGGGGCTTTAGTTGTGCCGGACCCCTGGGCGTTCTGAGACCCCACTGACCGCAGCCCTCAACTGTGTCGGGCAGGTGCCGACATCTGGACTTGCCAAGTCCCAAGTCCATCAAGCCAATGTTGAGTCAGCCATCTTTACAATTCAACCTCAACCTCAACCTCAACTCCCATCGTCACTCATCAAGCTACCGTCGCCAATCCTCGCTGGCACGCAGCCCAATGCCTCAACCGGCTGGTCCACCGACCACAGAATCAGTTGCCATCCAGCACCCGCTACTCGTCGTCACCTTGCTACAAAAGCGGTCAGCAGAATCCATCTAGCTCAAACTGCGTCGTGATACAGACTGGATCCCCCTCCTCGCCAACAACGGACATTTTAGAACGCCACCTCGCTTCATCATACCGTCGTCATGAACACCGAGCAAGGGAAGCGGGCTGAATCACTTCTGCTGAAATCGTCGCGAACGTACGGCATTCAGACGAGGAAAGACGATGTGCAGGCCGCCATCAATCATCCCCACCACGGGCCCCTGTTTGCCGAATGGGCTTTGACACATTTGACATCTGATACCCTGTTGACAGCCGACGAGCTCGACGTGTGAGTAAATTCCCATGCCGCCATATTTACTCTTTTCACTGTGAAGCGGGAGCCTGCAGTCACTGAGATACCACGGACCGTACGCTAATCTTGCATCATAGATACATGGCATTGGATAGGAATGGCCGCGTAGATCAGCTAGCCGACTTGCACGACCTTTCCGAGGTGCCGGCCGTCACTGAGGATGAGTTGACGGCTGCCGTCGAAGAGCTAAAGCGATGTACGGAGAGCATTTCCAAACAGACGGAAACACTGCGTCAACAGCAAGATGCCCTAGCCAGAATGGTAAAAACGCAAGCCGAAAATACTACTCGCCGAGAGCAATTAGAGCGTGTCCAGAGGAAAAAGCGTGAATTAGAGCGTGACCAACTTACCAAAGAAGTAAGAAAAGAAGCCATCATCTGCACGCTATGAGATTTAACATGCTATTTCAAGGTTGAGCGAATGTCCCAAGAAATCACCCTCAGAGTCACGGAGCTAAACCAGCATGGCCCAGCTCTCAATGACAGCATCGCAACCCTCCTCCAATCCGACGATAAGCTCCTATCAAGTCTCCAAAAGCTAGGATGGGAACTTGACCAACCCGATCTAGGCGAAACCCAAGACATTGAAAAACTCCGAGAAACATGCATGCGGTAAGATGACGTTGATCACAGACACCTCAAATCCGTCTAACGCCATACAGTCTAATTAAGGCAACTGTTGAAACCGTTCGTACTAAACTAGACACCATCTATTTGGAAACCCTTGTCACAGCAGAGCGATCCGGAACCGCAAAACCAGCCACAAACGAACAAGTCAAGTCTCTCCAAGATGAAGTAGAATCACTCTATTCTGAGATTCTGCCCGTCGCCCAAATGTCTATTGACCAACAGTATCTGGAACCCGCGCTCCAGACCTTATCTATGAGAAACAGCCAAAGCATAGGCAAAACGACCACATCCTTGACATATGTATGTCTTCACCGCAGACACGGCCTCACACCTGGACAAGCTAATAACACGGACCCCAGATCAATGAATGCCTCACCTACCTCGTGGATCGCATGGATAGGCTCCATGCACACGTCAAGTCACACAAGTCCCACCAAGCTGCCACTGCGGCAATAACTGCCGCCGCAAAGGCAGAAATAGCTGTTGTAATCCCCCCCAAGAAACCAAGACAAGCAATCCCTCCTTCCCCCGTTCGAACACGCAGCAATACATCCGAGGCGCGTCAACGTCGAAGATCATCCGGTGCCCAGGAAGAGTCCCCGATAGAGACTCTTCTCCAAGACCTGGCCGTGACACTGCCACCTGATTGCATCAAGCCTCAGGATCAAATCGGTTTCTTGGAGAGTGTGCTAGCTGAAAGAACCCTCAAAGGAAATGACGTGGCGAAAGGGGCGCAGGAGGGCTTCGAGATTGCCGCGCGCGCACATGTAGAAGATGCCCGACAGGCGATCCAACTCGTCCGGGATAGTCTCCTGGCTGAAAGCTCCTTCGGCACTTTGAAGCTGGTGGATCCAGATATGGATGGCTCCATTTCGGTGCTGGCGCAAGAGGTGAACAAGGCCAAAGAGAAGCTGCGGTCGCTCCAGGGTCAGAGTATTGTTGCGAGGAGCGAGAAGAGGGACGAGTTCATTCAGAGATGGGGATCGTAGAGCGCGAATATAGGTGGTGTTGCAGGGGCGCGAGATGAAACATGTTCCACTGCGGATATTAAGGAACAAGGTATATTTTGACTGGTAAGATGGTTGAGCGTTTCGTAATAGATCTGTAGAAGCTGGTACAGCGCCTACCGGGTAGTGATCAAATCTCGAGACTGCATACAGATGAGCGCTTCTTGAGACCTATTATACCACGGATAGCTCAAAATGCACTCTGTTCTCTGTTCAGCGAATTTGTTAGTGTTCATGCCAGACCACTAAGTAGCCTCAGGGAACATTTTACGTTCAAAATTCGAATAGTAAATCAAGAAAGCAAATCCATTTCACGTATCAGCTATTTGTTCCTTTAAGAATCCCACCCATCCCCATGCACAAGGTGCGCCAAAGATCCCACCGTCATCTTAGCTCCATTCCCAATATAATCAAAGCCAACGAAATCACGCTGATCAACCCTCCATTTCCACATCCTCTTCCTGCTTCACGAACATGCTCCCCTGATCCTCATTCACCTTCTCTCGCTTCACTGACCGGAGGCCATCTTTCTCAGCCTCTTCATTTCGCTTTCTCTTCTGTCGCTTGGGAAAGTCACTCTCCGTCAGGAACTCGCCGTTGAGCATCTTTCCCACATGCGTCTTTGAGATATTATTACCATAGTGCCGGACGTTTGTAATGAACGACTTTAGGAACGGGATCGGACTTGCAGCCAAATTGAGGCAATCGGGTACCTCATCACCGCCTTTGCCTCTGATAATGAACCCGTCAGAGTCCGTGTTGGTGAATGTATCATTCCATGCAATGCCGAGGTAGGTGCACACATCAGTGTACTCCTTGAAGGAGGCAAAGTAGAGCTGACCAGCGAAGAGATTGAGTTCTATTTTCAGGTGTAGAGGAACCTGGCGCTTGATCGGAGAAGTAGGGATTGTATAAAGATCCAAATCGTCAACAGGCATATACGAGCTGTTTTGTCGAGCCGCGTAGATGTGCAGTTTGGTTGTTTTTGACTTTTCTATCATTTTGTACAATGATTCGGCTTCATATGGGCTAATGATGAGCATATTTGTGATCATCCCCTTTTCACCGGCAGTGGTAAGAATGTGATGTATAGGTCTTTTGAACAAGTCGCAGTGCTCTTGGCTGGTCCCCGCGGTTTCTCTGACAACATTTGCAAAGTCTCTAGAGACTTTAAGTTGTGACGGAAAGTTTCTTAGGTCAAATTGCAAAGCAGCTGTTGTGTCAGATAGACTTGTGAAGGCTCCAATAATTCCAACTCCGTGATCTCTGAGCGTCCCAAACTTCACAAATGCTTCAACGTCTGCGTGTACTTCGTGTGTAGCTACTGAGCATATTCTGGAGCGATGCAAATGGCGTTGTTCCGTAACTTGGGCTTCAAGTTCGTGCTGTTGCTCCTGTTCTGTTTCACGCTGTTGTTCTCTCTCTTCTGAACACCCGTTGTCAACTGCACCCAGGTGTTGAAACTCTTTGAGCCGTTCGTGGATCAGAACGGCCATCTCATTATCGTCGTCCGTGGGAATATTGAAGCTATTTTGCGGCTGGTATAAGCTTTTTATAGTGCGAATGCCGGTTTCTTTGAAGGCATTTGCTGATGCTCTTCTTAGAGACATGTCTGGGGACTCGCGAATTTGGGCCCATGTTTTGGACTGCTGTACATATTGGCCTCCTTGTTTCGCCCAAATGGGCAGGAGTTGGCCAGTTTCTATTGCAGTCTGCTCAATAGACCAGTAGATGATGTCTTCAATAGACGGAGGCTGTTTAGTGCTCCGGTTTGCCGAAGCTTTGATCTGAGACTGAATATCATTCGGCACGCAATATATAACGGACTGCCCATCTCCGAGAAGCCGCATTCGCATACAGGCTAGAAAAAGGTCAGCCAAGCTCAACATAGAGGGGGAGGTGGTTACCTTGAGCTAGCTTGTCCTTAGTTAAGTTCCTTCCAAGAGTGACAGCCGCCTTACATGTTGATGGCAGCTTTAAGTCTGTTCCTCGTGAGTGAGCTTCATCTAAGAAGACGACGCACCTTTCCATCTGCCTGGCGAATGGCGATAGCTGCAAACTTTCGGTCTTTCCGTGTCTATCCAACACAGTTAAATCACCATTGTCGTCGCAGTAGATTGCAGCATCTATCATCAGGTTTCGTCCTTGTAAGATACCCAGCCAAGTCCTCGCCACCTGCTCATTTGTGAGATCAATAAGGTAGGCACCAACGTCAATGATGACTCTTATATCTGGCTCCTGGGTCGTAATCTTTTGCAAGAAATCCTCGGAGATTCTAGAACTGTTTGGAGGGTCAAGAAAGTGCGTGTGATTATGCAATCCCAGCATTTTCTCTAAAACCAAAGCATCGGTATGAGCCTGACTTATCAAGTCTTGTTGTCTCATTGTCAGCGGCAAAAGTGGTTTCAAATCGTGTGTACCGCTAAATCCAGTCGTTACCAGCTCCTTAGAGCGCCCAATATCCCAACCTGATGCTGAAATCTTTTCCGAGTATTCTCTTAATTGCTTCGGAAAGACAATGTACGACAGGTAGTAGTCAATGCAAACTCTAAGAGACCTTAAACGAGGGAATAGGTCTCGCTTGCATAGCTGAGTGTCTTCCAGATTGATTCCTTTTACATCATGCCAGGCCTTGGGTAGATCTGGAGCCGCCTTCACCCACTCTTGGTATTCGATATGCGACCGGTCAGATTGAAGGAGGTGCATGAGTGTTTCTGTCAGGTCCCTGTCATTTAGTCCGTCGTAGTAATAAGCAAGATATGTCTTAGTAATAACGGTGTCCGGTTGGCTGTATTCGGAACCTACGCTGGGCGTATCTTTTGCTCTGTAAGGCACTGCGAGATCCGTTTTCGGCATTCTGGTCTTATCAAGACCATAGTTTACACGGAAGCGATCTCGCAAGGCCGCAGACAACACTCCACAAGCAATTAAACCTCGGATAAGGTATAAGAAACTCGTCATCTGAGGTGCCCAGCATAAGTCCTTCTCAATAAACTCCCTAGTCGTTTCTTTGAGAGCTCTATTTGTCCAAAATTCGAGAATTTTTTCTTTATAAGTTGAGAATGAGCTCGTTTGAGATATAGAAAAGCCGATCAAGCCGGTGAGACAAATTTCCTCTGCGATTCTTCTCTCTAGGAGCTCCGAGGCCTCCCGAGTAACTAGAGATAGTTTGGGATATCTCCCAGGCCCCACGGGCGAAATCACTAGCCCACCAGGCATCTCTTCCACGATTGCCTCCGCTTTTTTGCAAGCGATGGTCAGAATCTGTGAAATGATAGAACAGCGCTCCCTCGCGAAATCAATTGGCTGCTCTTTACCTAGAGGGTAAACCAACTCATATCTGGGCGAAAACACATCATCGCTTTCGTCAACAATGTCTCGGCAACTATCATCCAGTAAATGTTTAATGTCGTAAAGGACTTCTCTCGCTTTCTCGGAACACTTGCTTGAATAGTCAGATATCATGAGGTTTAAAGACAAAATTTGCTCCGGTTGAACAATGAGAATGCCTTTGCTTTCCACGCAATCCTGTATAATTTTGTGGAGCTTGCCCACAGATGCCTCTGTGAGAGTCATGTTCCGAGAAATGGGAAGATGATAGATGCGTCGTCCTAATAGGCCACCAAGTCGCGCCGTCATAATTTGGGACATTTGGGCAAATTGTGACCTGGTCACAATAAGGCGAACGAGATTTCCCTTCCTGCAGAGCGACGTTGCTATTATAGGCACAATGACCGAAGACTTGCCTTCTCCCATATTAAGTTGCATAATGGAATTATGGCGATTCGGGGGATTCATCATGGCGTTGGCAAACTCAATCTGAATATCGCGAATGCTAATGTTATTCTCGACTTCAAATACTAACCATTCAGGGTGCATCATGGGGTCCCAAGTCCTAGGCTTAAGCCCATGCAATTGTTTTAGAGCATCTTTATGCGCAGTCCCTGGGAGAAGAAGCAGTCGATCCCAATTCTGCCATTTTGATAGGCGAGTAGCAAATATTGCAAGCTCTCGTTTCCATTGCAACGGCAACTGATCATTTGACGCAAGTTGTTCAACAAGGAAATGAGTGCAGACTCGGGGTAGGTTGGGTTGTATTGCCGCAGTGTTGAGTTCCGTCAAGCTGTTTTGCGGTAGTGAACCGCGAAGAAGTGCTTTTTTGATACCAAGTAAATGATCCTCAAATTCTTTCTTCGCTTCATTTCGGCGACGAAGTATCTGTGGCTGAAACTCTTGCCAGGATGCCTGCAAGAGCAGCTCTCCTTTGGCTCTTTCTAATGCTCGTCTGCTTTCATCTAGGCTTCTAGAATAGGTGACTTGATATGGAGTTGAGGCGCTTTTCTGTAACCTTTGTACGAGAGAGCAAACCCGAGAGCTTGGTTGAACGGAACCCGATGTCTTCACATGCAGAAAACTATCGATGTTGCTTGGTATTGCGGGTGGTGTGTGAACCTGGAAGACGTAACGATGGTCAACGCGGTGTACTGTCCGTTGGGGGGTTTTCTCGCTTCGTGATTCATCTAGATCTATTTTATACTTTTGAGACTTGGAATATATAAGTCCGTGCCAATTTTTGAAGTGTTCGTCAACTTTTGCATTATCGGATGCCTGCCGGAAGATGGTCTCGACGTTGGATATAACCTTGTTTTTGTTGTAATACCTTTGCAGGTCATCATGATTTTTTGGCCACTGAACCTCCATCCTGCCCCATTGTTCAATAAAAGCTTCCGCAAGTTTCGTATTTTCTTTCGTATACTCTGCTCTCGTCTTGTTCGGGCTGTCTTGTGCGCCGTTACTTCCCTGCCCCTTCCCTGTTTTTTTATTTCGCACAGTGTCTCGAAAGCTCTTTCCTGCTTGTGAAGAAATCCTCGCTGTATTAATTGCGTTTTTTAAATCAGAGGTTTTCGGCCGGTTTCCTCTGCTCAGATCAAAATTCTTAGCTTGAGGGATAGGTGGTGTTACGTCAGCTGGCAAGTATAAAGCGCCGGTGAGAATATGAACCAACTCCAAAACAACATGTGGCGAGAACGCTAGAGTAGCAATATAAAAGCTAGCTTTGTGCTTGTTGATTTCTCTTCGATTATGAATCAGCTCAGTGCATACCGAGAACCAAGTTTTAGGAAAGAACTTCCCTGGCTTATCCAGCAGGCCGGCGTGATACTCTAGCTGGATTGACTCGCCATCTTCACATGGACCACTGGTGAGCATTGTCGATGGCTCTTTTAAAGTTTTTCTTATAACAGCCAAAAAAGTTATCTGTTTAATATTCTCAAATGAGTTCGAGTAATTTCCGCGCCGACTCTTCTTCATCGCATCAGAGACTTTAAAAAGGTTTGTGAATCGCATAGTTCGTCCCGGAAAAGGATGTGATTTTACTTCGGCCTTCTGCCCATCTGTATTATCTGTGTTTTCTTTTTTTTCCTTTTTTTCTTCAACTTCGGGGTCGGTATATCCATAGTAATAACTGTCAGCTGATATTATCTCTTTCTGAATACCAGTGGCTTGAGAGTAGAACACTGAGGATCGAAGCCGAGCTCGTATGCACAGCTTGTTTTGCCTATCACTATCTACCTCAGGATAGGCTTTGTTGATAGAAATTGTTGGCTCGAAAATACGGTATCTCGAACACCTGTTCACTATTTGTTTGAAAAGTTCTGCGAAATCTGGGTGGTGTGCGAGTGGACTGAGACCGTTTACCCGGACGACGTACTGGCGTTTTAGTCCATTCTTCGGGGTTGATATTTTCCACTGCTCGCTGAGTTTGCCTATTTTTTGTAGTAGCTTAAACATACCTGGGGATACAGCTCTGGGAGAATTAATTTCTGCGGAGCGGACTATTTGTAAAGCTCGCTCGGTGCCTGTGTATCCGGTGAAAGGGTCAGGCACACAACCAGAAGTGTATCCATGAAGAAGTGCTAGACGAAGTATGCTCTCAAAATCTCTCCCGCAAAGTTTCCCCAGGTAGGTGTCCAATTCGTAAGCGTATACTTTCCCACAACTTGGCACATCAATAGTAACGAATACATGGGTATCATTCATCTCTGGAGTGGCGAGATTAAGTTCACCCTCGGGAATAAGCAAAAGCCTGTGGGATCTTTCATCACGTAAGACTAGCTTTTGGTGCAAGCCAATGAGAGTGTCAATATCTTGACAAGAGTCAACCCACATGCCCTGGTACTGCCGTGAGAGGATACGCGAAGATTTCTCTTCTATGTAGAACTCTAGTTGAAGCCTGGGTAGATGGACTTCCAGGTGTTTAGTGCGAGGAAAATAGACGATGTGTATATCCTCTGGCTCCGCTAGAGAGGCAAAAGCGTCCGTAACTTGTTTCGATGCTTCACGAGCCGTATCAACCAGAAGACCACCACTTGGTTCAGCCAGCTGCCAATAGTCGCCAACTTTATGCAGCACCCAATTCGTGCCTTCGTGTTTCCACGGTAAGTGTTTTGGGCGAAACTCAATGACCATATTTCTACCTTTTCTGAAAAGCCAATGGACGTGCTTCTCAAAAAATTCGTTAGGTAGCGCTTTATGGAATAGCCGTCCAGGAACGAGGTCATATTGACAGCCACTATCTGCTGTAGCAGCAATGATGAAGTCAGGATTCTCTTCGCATCCTAGGCTTTCTTGGAAAGACTCTGGTGTCGCTAATAGACCCAATGAAACGTCATGGCCATGTATTTTGTGTACAGTTTGATACTGCATGCCTTTCTCACTACACTCATTGACGTCAAGTCGTGCATGGCCGAAAAATGTAGAGTATGCTTCATGTTCCTCAATGTCCCGGGGAAGTTTGCCCGATGGTAACCCATTTACTAGGAACTCAGCAGTCAGGACATTGAAGTAATCCCTTCTATGCTCTGTCGAACCAGGAATTCGCCTCTTCGTAAATACCCAATGGAATTCTGTTACCAGCCACGGTTGTGGATCATGTAACGTCCCTGTGTTCCGGCAATGGCCAATCGCTGTATCGAGGCACTTGGTTGTAGTTATTGTGTTCAGGAGAGCTTCAATTCCTGTATAAGTAATGCGTTTCCAAGTAAGGAACCAAATAGCGTGCAGTTGGTCCTCGGGATCGACCGTGTGGATGTTTTCCCTGATCATGATGGAGCATTCTATAAAGATAGCAACATTCTCCTCGGCGCTCAGCAATTCAAGAAGGCATTCTTCTCCAACGTCAAACGTTGCGACACAAATCAAAGCGACCTCCGCTGCTTTCTGGATGAAGCTCTCCTTTTCGGAGTTTTCAACTTGGACATACCAGTGTTTCGCAGCTGCGTCATCCATTGTTTTGCGACATGGCGACAATTCGATAAGCAAATCCAACTTGATTCAACCGAACCACCATGAAAGCTTGATACAATTCTCGTGAGAAGTAAAACAAGAGTCCACAGTATTATAGTTGCTTCCCAATTGTTCTTAATTCTGTCCAACTCCTGTTGAATCAAGGTCACGAGCTTTTGAACAAATACGGGGTCCTCTAGGGATTGATGGGCCTCGGCAAGCAACAGGCCTGATAAAGGACCTACCTGAGTAGAAATTTGTAGAAATATAAGAGCCGTCTCCTGTCGCTTGAAGTCGATCGTGGGGCTGGCCAACTGTCGCAAGATGTTAGTCCACCTTGTATGGTGACCTAGGGGAGCTAGAGCAAGCGATCTAAACTCCTCCTGCGAGATGTGGGCAGGGCATTCTTGCAAGTCACTTATGACGGAGTTGGCCAGTTGTGCTTGGCTTTGCTGAGTGGATGGAGTAACAAAACGTTGCAGGGATGCAACTGAGCAGGGCAGCTGAACAGTGCAACGCTTAACGAGAGTTGGAGGTGGGAATTCGGCAATGACCGAACCCGTGGATATATCGAAATATTCCCAATTATGCCTATGATTTATAATAATATTTTCTTTTGTTAGATCTGGACGTATTTTTATTGTCGTCATTTTGGGTTCTGATGCACTTGACAGCACGACTCGGGAGTCGTCCGCGGTTTGTTGGTACTTCGAAAGCCATTTTTTAATTCCAGGAGTGTGTTGCAGATTATAAAAGTAGTTGGATAGCAGAAGCCTCTTATTGGTTGCGTTATTGGTAGTGTCAGCCCTTCTGGCTAGAACATCCGTGAGGAAAAATATGGTGAAATCCCTCCAAGCAGAAAATGACTGTGATGCTAGGAGTTCAAATACCAAGTTCTTCTTCTCTGATTCTTCTTTCGGTAATATTTTTTCATATGTATCGATCTTCATTTCCAGTGCCTGTCTTTTGCTTTGACATCTGGCGCAAGGGTCGTCAGTCCTTGGAGCATCCTAATCTTCCGAATCAGACGCTCCCTCACAACCAGCATCGCAATGACCATCATGATACTCTTGCATCAGTCGGCTGTAATCCTCAATCTGTTGCTCAAGCTCTTCAATCTTCTCACTTTCTTTATCCTTGTCGTATTTTATGAGAGTTTTAAGTAATTTCTTGCAATTTGGATCGTTCTCAAAGGCTTTCACCGCAAACGACTGGTTTCCGCCAAGACCATCGAACACAAAAGTCTCATATTGAGAATGTTCCTGTCGATCTTTTAGATAGCCTTCTGCGGTTTTTAATTGCCCAACATCTGTGTTGGAGCTCAGCAAAAGTGAGGACCATATGTTATCAGGAACTGGAGGCTTGTAGCATTTTAATTCTGGCGTATCCGCTGCCGCTAATTTATCGCAAGCCACCCAGAGCACAAGAATCCTAAGCAACATGGCTGAATTTTCTTTTGGGTTATTAACATAGGCTCTTTTTGCAATTTTGAAGTACTGAAACGCTCGATTTTTGATTGTGTTGCAGGCGTCTCCCTCTGTACCATGTTCGTTGAGCCAAATATCCAGGTGCTTATCTATCCAATACTCAAATGCGAATAGATAGAAGATGGTATACTCCTTTGCTTCTTCCGCAAGCGCAAGCGACGCAAAAGTGTTTTTATCTGTTAATCGCAGCTGCGACACTGGGTGATATGAGCCGCTTGTCGCTGCACTTTGGCGGTGAGCAATGCTCTTGACAAATAGATTCAAGTTGGGGATCTCGAAAAGGGTATCTGCTTCGATTGCTGATAGGTTAAATGGCGAAATTTCCAGAGAAATTTGATGTCTCTTGATGATTTTCTGCCAATTTCGACTCAGTACTTCGTTTGCATTGTTCAAAACGGCCGTGACTGCTTCCATCCACTTCTCATCTTCAGTAAGCTCGAGTTTTCGCTTGCGTCTGCAAACTTTGGAGTAGATACAGTGAATAGTTTCACTTTGTAACTCTCCTTCGCAAGCTTTCTCCAAAACTTGAGACATGAAGAATATTAAGAACTTTTTGTATAGGATGGACTTTCCATCTTGCCGGCTCAAGATTAACTGAGAAGTGACGCGCAGGAAAAGCCAAAAGGGTGAGCGTCTCCAACACTGGTTGGAACCATTTGTGCCTATTACCTCTTCTCTAGTGTGCTTACAAATTCTGCGATGCTCTGATTGTATCCCCTTATTCACTAACTCGATATATAGCAGCTCGGTTATATTTGTTGGGGAAGGGACGTCCTCGCTGGCGGCAGCAGCTTCTCGAAACCCATGGCCCTTGGAGGTTGTTATACCTTCCCAACTCATCCGTGACATGGTTGATGAGATGAAGTCAAAAAAGTCACAAGTGTTTATATCGTCAGTCGGAATAGAGGCAGAACATTCAGGAAAGTGTCGGACAATGCGGCCGGACGCTTCGACGATTGTCTCATTGTCCGGAGTAAGCCCCCAAAAATCGAAAATCGCGTTCCCTCCTCGTCCATGTAGCAGGATCCCAGCATTTTGAGCTTGAACATAAACAGGTAGATACGATATCTCTGCATGTTTGGTGAGACCGATGCTTAAGACGAGATGGGGAGGCGTTTCGACACTTACCTTGACCTATGACTTTCTGTGATGCTGTGCGAAGTTTGTCGCTATGAAGACTTCCATCTTCTTTTCGAATGCTCTGAAGGATTTGAAGAGCAGTTACTAGCTGATTTACCATGCTTCGCTCGCTGTTATTACAGAGCGAAACAAAGTCTTCTGTTGACGATAGAAACAAGCCGAGGAGGTGGCTATCGCATGACTCTTTGTCTGGCCTACTGGGAAGCCCAAGTGGTAGGAACACATGATTTACCATGTATCCAAGAGTTGTGCTTCCGTTGGGGGGATCAAGGTCATCCATGTTGTCGGATAGATCTTGTCTCGAGGGCTGGCTCCCCAGAGTGGGAGACGAGTCGGCGAGGGGCTTCAAGGGAAGTCGCTCAGTGTTTCAAGTTGAAATCGAGATGAGTAGAATGATGAATGACGCTGAGGTGCTTGTGGAAGTGAACAAGGTAGGACTTCGATCAGAAAGCTGAAGAACGGCGTGCATGCGTGCGTGCGTGAGTGTGTTTGAAGTCATCCGGTGTGGTGAGTAGGAGAGGAAGAGACCTTTGAGCGGAAGCCTCGAGATGTCTGGTTTTATACTTTCTTGTTGGCACACCACCGGTCCGTTGAGGGAGGCTCACAGCTGGCAGCCAACTGGTAGCTCCAGGCTCCAGCTCTGCGCAGACCAACTACTTAAGTACAGAATCCAGATGTCCTCTCCTTCTCTATAACAAAGTTGATGACCGCCAGGCTGGGGGCGAAGTTCCTCCACCAGCTCTGTCCACCGAGGCTGGCTTTTTTTCTTTTTCCATCATGACTTCTTAAAATAGTGTTTGTAGAGAGATCAAAATTTTCGGCTAGGATGGGTTTCCAGCAGCGGAGTAAACACCAATGCACAGCCCCGATATGCTGTCCGGTAAACTATCTAGTTACTCAAGTATGCTTATTTCCTCGCACAATACTTACATCATGCTCCGCCGACGGCGGTGGTTGTGTTGATAGTCACAGACTCACATGCACAGCAGGTTAAATGGTTTTCACGAAAGCAAAAAAAGTGGGGACTCTGCAAGACCTGGCTTGCTTAGAGTCTTGGACCAACTTCACTCAACGCCGGAACCTCACCATTTGCAATGCTACTCCATATATCCGTTATATGCGCGTGCTTTGTTGATTATGTCAATGAATAGCTTCAGTGCCACAGAAACGTCAACGAAACGATACGATATTTGAGGCTTCTCCGCCCGTGCTGATGTGGGACATGGTGCTTGGAAATGCCCCAAAGAGCTTCTGTCGGGGGGGGACAAACTGCTCAACCTGTCAAGACCAAGGGTACGCAGGGGGGCTCACATGAGACTTTGCACCTGGCCACGCCAGTTGGAGGGATGAGCAATATGCAAAGACAAGACGAAGCCTTATCGGTGCCAACACCGCCAGAGTTTCTGCCGGCCAACTCCTCACTCGTTGACAACCTACCGCTCACGTTGCCGAACACGTTATCAGTGTCCAAGGTCAAGGGCATAACCGTCATTGTTACCCTTGCAGGCATTAGTTTCCTCAATACTATGGGCTCCGGTATCCTTATTGCCGCCCTGCCTCGAATTGCATCAGATGTTGAGCTTTCCGATGCTTTGATCCTATGGCCAGCAGCAGTCTATGCCCTTGCGGCAGGCTGTCTTCTTCTTATCTTTGGCGCAGCTGCGGACGCAATTGGGGCCAAAATTGTGTGGATAACTGGAAGTTATCTCTTCGTCGTTTTCACCGTTGCATTGGGCCTGGCAAATACTGGTCTCCAAGTCATTCTGTTTCGAACATTCTTGGGTGTCGCCATATCTATGTGCTTACCTACGGCTGTGAGTCTCATTACGAATACGTTTCCTAAAGGGACTTGGAGGAATGTAGCTTTCGCGATGAACGGCATGGGACAACCGCTTGGCTATGCACTGGGATTGGTGCTCGGCGGTATTTTCACGGATTCGATTGGTTGGCGGTGGGCATATTACATGATGGCTATCATCAATTTTGTCCTTTCGACAGCTTCTATTTGGTCCCTTCCAGACGTGGAGCCGGGAGGCGAGAAGAGATGGACGAAGCGGCTGGCGGAGGACATAGATTGGGCGGGCGCGGCCATCATGAGTGTTGCTTTGGGATTGCTGTTGTATGCCCTGGCAACAATCACAACGTCGTATGCAAGCATCAAGGGTCCCGGAACCATTGCTTGCCTAGTAGTTTCGGTAATTCTGCTAGTTATGTTCCCTATGTGGATGAACTATCAGACGAACAGGGGACGACCGGCGTTGATTCCGAATAGTTTGTGGAAGAATGCTCCGTTTACCACTATCTGCCTGTCAGTCTTTTTTTGCTGGGCGGCTTTGAATGGGATTGAGTACTTTACAACTCTCTAGTAAGACCAAAAGCCAAGCGTCACGGGAGATGCCGAGGGATTTAGCTAACAGGAGGAATAGTTTTCAGCAAGTAGAAGGCCTACCGGCCTTGCAAAGCTCCCTTCGTTTCCTCCCTCACGTTATCATGGGAATATGCGTCAATGCGGCCACGGCATATCTTATTTCGCGAGTTCAAGTGCAGACTCTTGCGGTAGTTTCAGCTTTGATCACCGTGGTAGCTCCGGCTCTGATGGCTACTATCAAGGTTGGCGAAAATTACTGGTATGCCCCATTTTGGGCATTGTTTCTGTCCCCTGTCAACCCGGACGGTAGGTTTCTGCCTGCATTCCTTTTATTATTGTGATGAAATAATCTGATGCTGATGCGCCGATGATGCAGTACTCTTCACAGTATCAAATCTCATCATATCCGATGCATTCCCTGTCGACACGCAATCTCTAGCAGGCGGTGTTTTTAGTGAGGTGTCACAGTTTGGAAATTCGGTTGGTCTTGCTGTGACAGCAGCCATAGCTGCGTCAGTAACCGAGCACTCAGGCTCCAAGGATACTAGAATTGCTTTGATGGATGGCTTCCGAGCTGCCTTTTGGACTATTTTTGTTGGTGCGGCTGGAGTAGCTGTTATTTGTTTCTTCGGGTTGAGGAGGGGTGGATTCATTGGGAAGAAGGATAATTAATAGTAAAGACATGCTATAACATGAAAGGATAAGAAAAGCTAAGTATAAGGACGGGCGTGCGGATAGAATGGGGCGAGGCCATCCCATCATAGGGATAGCCTACATCCATATCGTCTGTATGAACCGGCCAGTTCTGCAGACACCTGAAGATGTCGTAACCGCTAGTGTCGTCGAACGGCGTACAAAGTACTCCGTCCAATTCTCGCTTTCTGGCTGCTACACGATGGGGGTGTCAGACTCGGGAACAGTTCGCAGGCGGGCCTTGAGCTGACAGCAACCGTAACGGCTGCAGCTGTCGGTGTATTACTGCATTTCACCCGCCTGTGACATGGCTCGTAAAGCTGGTGTTGGTGTGACGAGCCTGATATCCGTCTGGCCATCGTGTTGGATATGCAAGCCCCGCCAATCAATCCGCCAAAGACATCGGCACAGCTGACAGACGGTACCTTTTGCGGCGACGGCGGCAGCGGAGCCATGCGGCCATCATGGCTCGGCTTGACTGGTTGGGGTCCGGTGTTGTTGAGGCCCAAGGGTCGATGCCGCCAACGGACTTCTTGGCCTCGTTTTGGTGTCGCTCCTTTCCCTGTTGAGCCAAGGACTTGGTTCGGACCCGCCTCGACTAGCAACGCCGCTAGTCGTTCCTGCCCGTTTAACCACTTGCACACCTGCCCGCTCATTTCTCTCCGCCACTTCGCAGTGCCACTTGCGCTTCCACTCAAACGGTCAGCGTCCCTGGCCTACTACGTCACGAGACTGGCGGTTGATCTTTTTGGCTCACAACCCACCAACTCGCTCACCCGCACATCCAGCACCACCATCGTTTTTTTGGACATGGCCGTTGCGCCAAATCATGTATAACTAGTCGCTTCAATTCGACGAATTGCTATCATCTTAGCTTTTCCGGCCGGCGCAAGACCCAAGGAGCTCCGCCCGCTATGGCCGATTTCCACCCCGAACTTCAGGCCAAACTCGACGACTTGCAACGCGAGTTACAGGTAAGTGCGACAGGGACTCACTCCTCGACGCTTCATCTCTCTTTTTTCTCCCGGAGATTATATGTTGCTGATCAAATCGTCTTGGCTCACAGGAAGGGGACATTACAGAGAAGGGGTAAGCGAATCCTGATCATTTCTAGGACCCTAGGAACCTTCGAGCCCGACAGGATGCCATCATGTCCTAATCTATCGGCAATGTCGACCGCCTCCACAATCTCCTATTCATGCTGACATTTTCCTCCTCGCCTCTAGCTACCAAAAGAAACGCACGCTATTGCTCTCTCAGTATGGCCATGGCGAATCCAGCGCGCCAGCTCTCGCACCCACCATCCACGAGCCTCCCCCTCGATCCGGGTTGCGCACTAAACAGCCTGATGACAACCCGCCCCATTCCAGTTATGACGGCCATCGAGCCTCTGCTTATAATGCAGTGAGGGAGAATGGCTCTGACCCTGGGTCTCCAATTTACCGACCGAGTTCGGGCTACGGCACCCCTTCGACAACTTCACAAGCCGCCGAGACAACACCCGCCGCCCTCTTGCGCCCCGGCGGCCCCGTAGCAGAGCGCTCTGTTCCTCTGCAGCGGGATTCACTTTTCATCACGGCTGCGACTGCATCTAGCGACGATCCTTCTCGAAGCGGAACTATGGTATCCAGGGACTATGCTTTCAATCCGGACCAGCAAGGCGCCTACATGGATGCAGGCCATCAACAGCAACACCACCATCTGCACCCCCAGCAACAATTCGATGGCAGAACTCGAACATTGCAGGATTCCCAAGGCTACTTCTCGGACTTTGCCGGTCAGCAGCATTACGACCAGACTCCGTCTGGAGGAGAGTACGGGGCACCCCATAGATATTCGTCCGGGGAGGCTTTCTCTCCCACAGCTGCCATGGCTCCTCCCATGCTCACGGCGAACGACCTTCCACCGCCAGAAATATTAGAATATTTGCAGCCACTTGAGCCTCGAGAGGTACCATTTGCTATTCATGACCCCCACGACGCCAACATCACAATGTCCCGTTTTGACAACCTGGCTGCTGTCTTGAGACACCGCGCTCGCACTACAGCCAAGGTCCCGGCGTACTGGGTCCTCGATAGCAAGGGCAAGGAAATCGCATCCATTACTTGGGACAAGCTTGCTTCTAGAGCAGAAAAGGTTGCTCAAGTCATAAGGGATAAGAGCTCGCTATACCGTGGCGACCGAGTTGCTCTTGTGTACCGTGATAGTGAAATCATTGATTTTGCCATTGCCTTGATGGGTTGCTTCATTGCAGGCGTCGTTGCGGTGCCAATCAACGATTTGCAAGACTACCAACGACTCAACTACATTCTGACTTCGACACAGGCACACCTTGCCTTGACGACGGATAATAACCTCAAGACATTCCAGAGAGACATCACGACGCAGAAACTGACGTGGCCGAAGGGGGTCGAGTGGTGGAAGACGAATGAATTTGGAAGCTATCATCCTAAAAAGAAGGAAGATGTACCCGCGCTCTCAGTCCCTGATTTGGCATATATTGAATTTTCTAGGGCACCAACTGGAGACTTGAGAGGCGTCGTGATGAGCCATCGCACTATCATGCATCAGATGGCGTGCCTGAGCGCAATTCTATCGACGATTCCAGGCAGCGGACCAGGGGACACCTTCAACCAGTCCTTGCGAGATAAAAACGGCCTTCTTATTGGCAACAGGAAGGCTGGTAGCGAGATTTTACTCTCCTATTTGGAACCTCGTCAAGGTATCGGCATGATCGTCGGTGTTTTGTTGACAGTCTATGGCGGCCATACAACTGTTTGGTTTGACAACAAAGCCGTGGATGTACCCGGCCTCTACGCACATCTCATTTCAAGGTACAAAGCGACAGTCATGGTGTCAGACTACCCTGGCTTGAAGCGAGCGGCATATAACTACCAGCAAGACCCTATGACAACACGAAATTTTAAAAAGGGAATGGAACCCAATTTCCAGGCTGTCAAACTCTGCTTAATCGATACCCTTACCGTTGACGGGGAGTTCCACGAGGTTTTGGCCGACAGATGGTTGCGCCCACTTAGGAATGCCAGGGCTCGACAGGTTGTTGCACCTATGCTGTGCCTCCCGGAGCACGGCGGAATGGTGGTAAGTGTGAGAGATTGGTTGGGGGGCGAAGAACGTATGGGTGTACCGCTCAAGCTAGAACACGAGACAACCTCAGAGTCAGATTCGGATGATGGTGGCGAAACTGCTAAACCCGTCCCCCCAAACGGGTTTGGTAGCTTGCTGGGCGGTGGCACCACAACAACAACGGAAAAGAATGCCGGTAATACAGAAATGAATGAGGTACTCCTAGATCGCGAGGCTCTCAAAACAAACGAGGTAGTTGTTATGGCATACGGCGATGAGGTGGGCAAAAAGGCACCGAACGAACCGGGCATGGTGAGAGTCGGCACATTTGGGTATCCTATACCAGATGCTACCCTAGCTGTCGTTGACCCCGAAACCGGTCTTCTTGCTTCTCCCCATAGTGTTGGTGAGATTTGGGTTGACTCTCCTTCTTTGTCTGGTGGGTTCTGGGCTCAGCCAAAGAATACCGAGCTTATTTTCCACGCGCGACCATACAAGTTTGAACCAGGAGAACCCACACCAACCCCTGTGGAACCCGAGTTTCTGCGAACCGGCCTGCTTGGAACCGTCATCGAAGGCAAAATCTTTATTTTGGGACTCTACGAGGATCGCATTCGTCAGAGGGTGGAGTGGGTAGAACATGGCCACGAGATTGCCGAGTATCGATACTTCTTTGTGCAGCACATGGTTGTGAGCATCGTCAAAAATGTCCCAAAGATTTATGACTGCTCTGCTTTTGATGTCTTTGTCAATGACGAACACTTACCCGTGGTTGTAGTGGAATCGGCGGCCGCGTCTACTGCTCCGCTTACTTCGGGAGGCCCTCCCCGGCAACCTGATACCGCGTTGCTTGATTCTCTGGCGGAGAGGTGCATGGAAGTATTGATGGAAGAACACCATCTCAGACTTTACTGTGTTATGATCACCGCCCCCAACTCTTTGCCACGTGTTATCAAGAATGGGAGACGCGAGATTGGAAACATGCTCTGCCGCCGAGAATACGACCTGGGTAATCTGCCCTGTGTCCATGTCAAATTTGGAGTTGAGCATGCCGTGCTTAACTTGCCGATTGGTGTTGACCCGATAGGAGGCATCTGGTCCCAAATCGCGTCCGAATCACGAGCCAATATTCTAGCCCCAGCAGATAAACAATATTCGGGTATCGACCGAAGGGAAGTTGTCATTGATGACCGAACATCCACGCCACTCAACAATTTTTCCTGCATCACCGATCTGATTCAGTGGCGAGTGGCCCGTCAGCCAGAAGAGCTTTCGTATTGTACGATTGATGGTCGAGGTAGAGAAGGCAAGGGCATCACTTGGCGCAAGTTTGATCAAAGGGTCGCAGCTGTCGCGATGTATTTGAAGAATAAGGTCAAGGTACGACCCGGAGACCACGCTGTGCTTATGTACACACACTCCGAGGAGTTCGTCTTTGCCGTCCATGCTTGTATCAACCTGGGCGCCGTCGTCATTCCCATGGCACCTCTGGACCAAAATCGTTTGAATGAGGACGTGCCCGCATTCCTCCATATTGTTGCTGATTACAATGTGAAGGCCGTACTTGTCAATCATGAGGTGGATCATTTGATCAAGCTCAAGCCCGTCTCGAGTCACATCAAGCAGTCAGCCCAGATTCTCAAAATCGCCATTCCCAATGTCTACAACACCACCAAACCACCCAAGCAAAATAACGGTCTTCGTGACTTGGGCCTGACAATTGACCCAGCGTGGATTCGCCCAGGATATCCTGTGGTTATTTGGACATACTGGACGCCAGACCAGCGGAGAATAGCAGTCCAGCTGGGGCACGATACCCTCATGGGAATGTGCAAGGTCCAAAAGGAGACATGTCAAATGACCAGTTCACGCCCAGTTCTCGGGTGTGTGCG